GGGTGGAATTACGTGGTTGTTGGGTGCAATTACAATACATTCTATAACTCAACTTTCCAGGATGTTCAACTCTCCCTAAACAAGATTTTATATCTTCACAACTTTTCACACCGATTTGATCAAAAGCAAAAATGGATTCAAGCAACCGAGTATCTATAACCGTTAGGTACCCTGATGTAACCAGTTGTTTACGATATTCTCCGATGGTGGCAGCACCGGCGGAGAATGCACAAAGCATATACAATTTTGTATCGTCATGATAGAAACGATACAAACGTATTATCTTATTATTCAGCTACAACAGTAATTAGTTAAAACAACAAATATTATTTAAATACTTTATTTACGCTAGACACCTACCTGCTTAATAATGACAAATAATATTACGTTTTTAGTGTGACTTTTTTTATTACCCATTATTTTCACTCATAAAAATTATCAAAAATATGATTGTTAAAACTCTTCATTGTTCTCTTTAGTTCAATGGATAAGATTGAATGTACTTTGCAAAGTAGTTTGGAGCTGTGTGCATTACTGATATGACATATACATAAAGTTTTAAAATCACGTAACTCACACTAGTAGAGCCTTTGGTGCTACTAGTGTTATACAAATAATGATGTAAAAAACAAATTTAAATAATGATGTATTCAGATCATATACAAATTGTGACATAAAAATTATTCCTGACATGAAAGAAAATAAATTCAAATGTAAATTAGTTACTATTAAATACAGTTTACCTCAATATTTGTAATAATATCGCATTACGAAATTTTATATAATCAAATATATTTATATAAGAAAATTCGTCATATACCGGGTGCGTCTCAGAAGTGGTCACCCCTATAACCATTTTATTTTTTCAGATAAAAAGACGAAATTTGGATAAAAAGATGAAATTTTCGGCCACTTCCTGTTTCACCGGAAATGACCACAACTTTTGATTTTTAAATGGCACCCTCGGTATTTTCTTACTTTATTCGAGAGAAGATAACACTCTGAATAGAGTGACATATCATATGTCAACTTTTGACATTTTCGTATACGGTTTATTTGAAATTGATACATGCGGTTCATAACGACAGTTTGACTCGAAATGCCAAGTGTGTGGTATCAAATTAATCGAAAAAAATGCTTTTTCCAAATATGCTAATGAGCCACCCTCGTTCCATTTGGAAAAATTGAGATACGATTAAAAATACGATTTGGGTATCTTTAAAGCGGCCAGGACAAAACATTAAAAACATTACACGATCAAATCTATTTTTCCGATGCTCCTTGACTAAAAATTAGTATTTTTAACTCAACCATGGCACTCTAAATTGACATTTAAAATACAATTTTGTTTTAAGCCAAAATGTCTAAAGTTGACATATGATATGTCATTCTATTCAGAATCACATTTTCTATCGAATAAAGTAAAAAAATACCGAGGGTGCCATTTAAAAATCAGAAGTTGTAGTCATTTCCAGTAAAACAGGAAGTGGCCGAAAACAATTGTCAATCAATCCTAATTTATGTCATGTACTAGCATACCAAATCTCGTTTTTTTTTATCTGAATAAATAAAAAAATTATAGTGGTGAGCCACTTTTGAGACGACCCGGTATATTTAAAATTATTCATGTAATGGTGGGTGATTTCAAAATACGAGTATTCATAATCAGATACCCAGTAATCTTGTAGATAAATTACTATTTAAAAAATCTTTTACATATGTTCTATATCAGTTATTTCAAAGATAAGTTGTTATCATTTATCTCTAAATCAATTTGCTGATAATAGTACTTAAAGTTATAAATATATTAATATATAATATATTATTTATAAATATATTATTTATTTTCTTACAGGCAAATTGTTGAGCTGCTATCGAATCATTAGAATGAGAAAAAGGAAGAGAAAATCACACGCAGTAGTTTTGAATCAATATTAAATTGATTGTTTGATAATTAAATTTCAATTTTACAATATTTTTTTGAACTTAAATTAAAAAAAATAATTTTTAAACTTATTTATAAAAATTAAAACTACTTCTACGAAGATGACAAAGTAAGAGCGCATATACTTACGGGAAAGGTAATGGGTGTAATTACCCCTGCTAAGAAGAGATTTATGAGTATGATAAAAAGTGTTAAAAATATAATCGTCTCAAAAGAAATTAATAATATAAAGCAAAATAGAAAAATCAAACCGATTCAAATATATTTCTTTCCAGAGTCACAATATTTTTCAGCAAAAATATATTTTAAATTTAGTGCTTTATTTAACCTATCCCTCCCATAAAAAGTTATAGGGGTGAGCCACTTTTGAGACGCACCTGGTATATTATGTATACATAGGGTGCTACAAATTCGAGGTACGATCATTGCTATCTCAGAAACAGCAATAATCCATTATTCCACTATATAGATACAAAGATGGTGAAATTAGGGCAAAGTTGCGCCTTGGAATGTTCACCAAGATGCAATTAAAACAGATTTAAAAATTTCAAGGATTGCTGAGTTTTTTGGAAAAAAACGGATTTTTTGAAAATCAGTTTAATTTTTTCCTGTCGTTACTTTTTAGAAAATTAAAAAACCAATTGCACATTCTCATAGCCACTTTATTAGGGCTATCTAAGAGTATTATCAGATTTTCAAATTACCTGATAATTTGTGAGATACAGAGGCCAACTTAATTTTTTTAAATACGGACCGGCATTTTTTATTTCAGGTTTTGAAAGAACTCGGTCTCCTGAGTACAATGATATGCCACACTTTATATTTTTTTTTGTTTTGGGTACCTTAACAACAACAAAACTATTTAATTATTATTTGAAATAATTTCAAGTCCGACTCTGGTTTTTTAAACTGTTTAATCTGATTATATCCATCGCAACAATATTGATCAGCGCTAATTAACATTGAATAAGGAAAATCGAGCCAATTGAAAGGTTCAAATAAATATAAACATAAACCAGGTCAGCAATTTAAAGATATTATTTTTAACTATTTTTTATTGTGAATTTGAAATCTCAGTGTACGATCTAATAATATGCATAATATTAAACGTAGCTATTATAAATAAGTCAACTTCTACAAACAAGTTAAGATGCTCTACATGTTTGAAAGGGTTACCACCCTCTCTATTGCATAAATTTGTTGAAAAATATTGATTTGGTTTGGATTTTTTATTTTTTATTGCATTTTATTTTCCGTATTCAATGTTTTATCCCACGTCATTGTTAAGTTTGAAGGCTTATCAATATTGTAACGATGAATAGATTAAATATTAAAAAAAACAGAGCCGGACATGAAATTAGTTTAAATAAATTGTGTTCAAATGTCCGAAACAAAAAAAAATATAGTGTGGCATATCATTGTACTCAGGAGACCGAGTTCTTTCAAAAACTGAAATAAAAAATGCAATGTTTTAAGTATCGATGAACCTACTAGCGAATTTAAAAACACACGTCTATAATTTTATTGTTGTAAATGTGACAGCACCGGAATATATAGACGAATTTAATTGTATTTTGCCGACATTATTTTAAGTAATAAAACAAATATGTTCCGTATAGCATCATTGTAAAACAAGTTAATTGTATAATTGCTCCCTGAGCAACAAAAATGTTTTGTTAGTCGACGCCATGATTTTATGTTGAATTTGGACGACTGTATGCCGGCCATTTTATCGAGTCGGGATTTGCAAAACAAAATAATCGAAATTTAATTCAAAATAAACGTACTTATAAGAAACGAATTAGTTTCCAATAATATCGAATATTGGACAATGTCGATTTTCCAGTTTACAGGTAATTTTGCAGTAATTTCCTAAATATCAAATATTTATTATAACTGCAAAATCTTCTTAAAATGAAAGCGCCTTAAAATATTTCCACAAATATAGATACATAATATCAGTAAAATTTGCTCCGCAGGAAAATTGGACTCCTGGAGCGTTTTAGGCGATATACTTTTTATACGATTTACATCTTTCTTTACATTGGCCATATCTGTCATTTAAATAGAATATATGTGTACTTTGCCATTTTAAAATCAGTTTTATCTTGGTCATTATAAATACACGATATTATAATTTTATTCTTGATAACTAAAAAACAAAAATGCAGATGCATGCTACAAAAATATTTTAACTGTGACAAATATGTTATTTTTAAAATATTTATAAATCTTTTATAAAAGAGTTTTATAAATATTTTGTAATGTACTCAATATTATTTTGTAAGCGTTATCGGAGAGTTTTTAACGTACTTCTAAATAAGTATATTGTTTTATAAACCTGCGCCTATTTTGTGTTTATAACTATTGTATTAGGGTTTATAAAGCACTTAAAAAATAGTACATATTTATAATGAATTGTTATATAACACTCTATATAACCATTTTCAGCACATTCGTGCCACTTGGGAGCCCTGTGAAAGTGGTTATAAGAATGTGCAATTATTTTTTTGAATTTGTAACAAGTAACGACAGAGAAAAATAAAATTTATTTAAAAAAATCAATTTTTCTCAAAAAACTCAGCAATTTTTTGAAACTTTTTTCATAGCATGTTGGCGAACATCCCAAGGCACAACTTTGCCCTAATTTAACCATCTTCGTATTCGGTTTCAGAGATACCATTGGTTATATCTCGAATTTGTAGCACCATAGGAAGTTAAATCAGTTGAATCAGACAGCCTTAACGCTATAAAGCAGTTTTTTAATTTTTCTATCGTTATAAATCCCTTAGTTTTTTATATTATTTCATTTGTTAAATGTAATTGTTATTTTTCTCTCTTAAAACATAATTAGCTGATAAAACACTTGAAGCCAAGTGAAATAAATATACAAGTACGCTATTATTTATATACAGTATTTATTCCTATTATTTCAAATCATAGACTATGGACTATCGAACATATCTTTCTTTCAAAAACAAGAAAAATTCTTATCTATCCATTGATAAGTGTGGAGTACCCACCTGAAGATAGGGGAACATTGCAGCGGTTTCGATTTTAATGTACTAACAGGTAATTAGTTCTATCCAACAGATTCAATTCACTAGATATCAGCGTAAAGATATAAACAATTAACATGCGATTTGCAATTATTTTAGTCGTTTTATTTAGTCTTGGATATGCCACAAAAGCAGCATCATCAAGCAATGGGGTTATCGAAGGTAAATAAGAATTTATTTTATTTTATTTTGAAGAATTTATATTTTATATTGTTGAAGCACTTATTAAGATAGCAATTATTTATGTCGAGACATTATTAAAAAACAAAGGAAGTATAGAGGTGCTAGGAAATTCCTCAATTTCACTGGATTTTGGTATGAAATCATTCATGTAAGTACATTTACATTTCTAGTATTTTATATTGCAAATCGATGGAATTTAGACTAGCTACCTAATCTACAATATAAAATGCTAATGTTTATCTGTGTCGTCTCTACTGAAATAACGACTTGCTCTAGAAAGTTGCTTTTTTTACTAAAAGGTAGCTAATTGGCTCTTCTACTGTCGTCGCCGGATTTTTTGTTTTTCATTTAATTAAAAAAAAGTATTTTTTTCCTGATGTCATGTCGTGGCGGATGCGCCAGGCTTCAACTAGTAGAAAAATAAAACTGTATCATATCTATCGTCACATCATTTTCAGCTTATTCAACCATTTCGAATTATGGTGCAGCCTCCCTCACATATTTACATATTCACTTTGTAGTTGGGCCCATTGTTGTCTAGTCTATTGTTGGCTATGCGGGCCCAAGTTATCCCTGCTAATTTCCTAATACCATGGTCCCATCCCTGGTCCGGTTTTTCTCTAGGTCTTTTAATTGCTCGTGGGTACCATGCTGTATTTTTTGTGGTCCATCTGTTGTCCGTTTTTCTTGTCAGGTGTTCCGTCCATTGCCATTTGAGGGATTTGACTCTGTGGATGACATCTATTACCTGGCTCTTTTGTCGTATCCATTCTATTCTTTTACGGACTCTCTTGGCTATTGTCAGCATATTTCGTTCCATTGAGCATTGTGCGACCTGCAGTTTTCTTATGTGGTCCGTTTTAAGTGTCCGGGTTTCGCATGCATAAGTCATGACTGGTAGGACACATTGGTCGAATGTTTTCTTCTTTAGATAGAGTGGCATTCTAGATTTGAACATGATTGACTTTATAAGTACTCCATGATAACTTAACTCTTCGGTTTATTTCTGGTAGTAGAGATCCCGGGCTGTGTATTAGTTGTCCCAAATATATTATGTATTCTTCTATTATTTCTAGTGTTGTATTATTTATTAGAATGTGTTTTTGTCACTAGTGCATTGTACATTACTTTAGTTTTTGCTAAATTCATTTTGAGACCCACTTTATTGCTTGCTGTATTTAGTCCATTAATTTGTGCTTGTAGTTCTTCAGGACTATTGGCAATTAGGACTATGTTATCAGCGAATCTTCGATGGTTAAGATATTCTCCATCTATTTTTAATCCTTTGTTGATCCAGTCCAGTTGACGGAAGATTTCTTCTAGTGTTGCTGTAAACAGCTTTGGGGATATCACGTCTCCCTATCGTACATCTTTGCCAGTTGGGAACTCTGGGGTTGTTTTATATATCATTACTCTTGCTTTGGCTTCTTTGTACATATTGGCGATAGTTTCTATATAAGGCCTGTCAATACCTTGTTTCGCTAGAGCTTCTATTATTGCCTTAGGGTATATCGAGTAGAAAGCTTTATCAAAGTCTATAAAGGCTATGGCTAGTGGAAGTTGGTATTTTTTTGTTCGGCTGATAGTTTCTCTTAGTGTATGTATGTGACCAATCGTGCTGAAGCCGCTTCTAAAGCCTGCTTGTTCTATGCAGCGTCTATGATGTCTTCTTTGTTGCCTTTCTTATGAATAAGAATTATGTTGGCGCTATTCCAGTCTTGTGGTATATGTTTTTTCCTTGTAGAATGTAGAACGAGTAAGAGGGAGTTAATCACTGCGACCTTAAAGATCTATTGTGCCCCCTTCCTTGAGACATCACACAGTATCATATCCCATCATACCCCTGTTGTAGAGGGGACAGTGTATTTCCCACAACGGCAAGTAAAACAGAACAACTGGAGATGGACACCGTTGGCTGAAGACGAAAAATTTGCAACTGGCTGTCCATAAAAAAAGGCTGTACTGATAACGGATAAGCGATCTTTTACGTATCCAAAGATTGTGTTGGATGGGACGGAAATCAAATGGTCCAAAAGCCTCAGATATCTGGGAGTTCAAATTGAAAAAAGCTGAATTTCAAAGAACACATACATGCAGTAGTGGTAAAGGCTCAGGCAACAGTGGCTAAATTAGCAAGAGTAATGCCAAACATCGGAGGTCCAAGGCAGGAGAAAAGGATACTTTTAAATGAAGTGGCCCATGCCAGTATTTTGTACGCTGCTCCAATATGGGCAAAGGCACAGGAGGTTAAAAAAGAAAAACAGAAACTTCTATCAGTTCAGCGACGGAGCGCCTTGACAGTTGTTTCTGCCTACAGAACTGTAGCGGAGCAACCGGTATTCGTAATCGCAGGTATACCACCAATAGACCTGGTAGTAAAGGAAAGAGCTTATATATATGATCAGAAAACTAGAGGAAGAACAGATAAGGCTGATATCAAAAATGAAGCGAAGGAGATATTATATCAACAGTAGGGCAAAGAAGATAGGATGAGGCGTACGGTGGAAAATGGACAAAGGACACATTTGTTAATCCCGAATATAAGAAGATGGACTGAACGAAAGCACGGACAGGTAGACTATTATCTTTTCCAGATACTTAGCGGTCACGAAGCTTTCGAACATTATTTATATCGTTTCAAGAAAAGAGCTAGTGCGGCGTGTAAATATTGCAGCAGTGCCGTCGACGATGTCAGTCACACCATTTTTGAATGGTCGGCCGGGGAACCAGGTAGATTAAAGATCAAAGGGATTTTTAAGGTATCCTTTAAAAAAGAAAACCTAATACCATCTATTGTGGAGGACGAAGATATATGGGAGACTTTCGTGGCGTTTATATCAAAAATTCTACGACAGAAAGAGCTGGATCAACGGAGGGTTCAAGAATGGCCAAAGTCTAACGTAGAGAGGGGCATCTGCGCCGATCAGCAGTTCATCGCGTGAGCAGTTCATCGCGTGAGCAGTTCCAGCGCAATTTGTCAACCAAATAGAGTGGAATTTTTTTAGTCGGTAGGACTAGTATAATCCGGCACACCTCGGTCTCTAGAACAACAGATCAGGCGTCTAAGAAGATTTTTTTACCATCCTCGCAGAAAAAAGGGTATTTTCCATCCTCCTCTGACAACAATTCTTCCTCCGAGGGTACACACCCTTCTACGGTTGGAGTTTGGCCCTCCGTGCCGCCCTTCACAGTCGAGGAGCTTGCCTCCGGCTAAGAAACCCGTGAGGTGGAAGCTGGATGATCTGTCTCCATTTTCTGAACCTCTTTAACTTGGTCTCTCCTTAGACCTGTTACCGGTGTTGTCCCGTATCTATAATAGAGGATATGTCCCTCTTTTTCTATTGCCTCCTTGGATTTGAGGTCAATTCCTATTGTGGGGTCAATTCCTATTTGCTAGGATTTTCCAAATTCGCCTACCAGTAGTTTAGTATTTCAGCTGTTATTCCGTAGTTCACTGCTGCTTTTCCATTTCTCATATCTTAACGCGCCTTTTCTACTTCTCCCACGAGAACTTCTGGGGCGTTGTCTTGTGGTAGGGGCAGTGTTTCTTCTTCATGTATGTATTCTGGAGCTTTATATAGGTCGCTGTAGAATTTTGTTACCAGGCCTATTATTTCGTTTTTGTCTGTTATTCTGATATTGATGTGAGTTAATGCGATTATCTGCTTCTTTTCGATCATGAGGGATTTCTTAGCGTTCTTATAGCTTTTTCTGTTTTCGATTGCAGTTTTTACGATGCATCGGAACCTTTAAACTCAAATATCTTGAAAATCGTTCACCGTTTCGAACTAAACAAAGAGCACCTTTTTACATAAAAAGTCCTATATACAAATAGCTTTAATTTTCATTAATTCTAGTAACTTTATCTATAAGGATAAGAGAAGTACTACCAGTAGTACTCTCTAGACAAATGGAAAGTACCCTTTCAAGGCTCTGACGGAATTTTACATTATCGTCATTCGCTTTGGTATTAAAATGTGTGTACAGGGTGGGTCAAATTCGACGCTTTTAACGGGAAACACCCTTTTCTATAGGAGATAGACGAAAACTCACATTGGTGTCTGGAGCTCAATGTTTATCAAAAACATGATGGTGAAAACCGCACATCGATATCTGTTAAAGTTTATAAGTTACGGGGTGTACCTGTATAAAACTACTTAATGAAAAAGTATACATTCCCGTGATTTTCTACGTAAAAAATGTCTCTTGGTAAAAATCGCTATGAGCAACCGTTCTCAAGATATTTATTTTTATACAATGGAAATAGTCAATACATGTCATTATTGACTAAAAATAAACATGTTGAGTAGATAGTTATTTGACTGAAATGAGAAATTTGGAAACTTTCTATTTTTTTAAACTAATCATAATTTTTTCTTCGAAAAAATGATGATAAAACAGTTTCTGTTGAACTTTTGACACAAAAACATTGCAAATTTATGATTTTAGTCTAATAGGTCTAATAACTAATTAGTCAACATGTTTAATTTATGTCAATAATGACAGGTATTGATAATTTCGAATCCAAATATCTCGAGAACCATTACTCGTAGCGATTTTTACCAAGAGATCTTTTTTACGTACAAAACATCGTAAATGTATATTTTTTAACTAGCTAAATACGGTATTTTTTAACTAACAGGTACGGACGAAAAGTTATTACTCTTCAAACCAGTTATAAAATACATAGGTGGCGCCCTCTACAAGTAGGAGCCATATTGACATCAAAATCAAATTTCTCAAGTCAAAAAACTTCCAGACACCAATTTTCATCCAAATATTGACGTTACTTCGGAAATTATTTGGAAAAAATCGAAGTAAAAATGAATTTTCTACACCCTGTATCTCTGAAACTAAGCATTTTAGGACATACATTTATAAAAACTTTTTTAGTTATTTTTATCTGCAGAATATGTTTTGCCGAAGTTTCCGGAATACAGTTCGGACCACCCTGTATATTATTTTTATTCACAACCTTTCGAGGGCTCTGTAACTTCTTCGGGAAGCATTTTAGGGCATATACTCATATGAACTTTTTGTTTTATTTTTGTCTGTAGAATAACCCACCGAAGTTAGATTTAGATATAATATTTTTTTGACTCCCTGTATATGCAAACATTAATATTAAAATATTCACTTAATGTTATTCTTATTTTAGAGATGGTACCTTCAACTTTCAAACTCTAGAGGTGTACGGTTTGCAAGGTTTAGAAGCGAAACAGGAGAATCTCAACGTAACTATTGATGACAATAAACTATCTCTGTGTATTAATATTAATGCGCCTACTGAACTGGGAGTTAATATCTCAAATTATGCAGCTGATATTGCCTTAGTTAATGCAATTCCAGTTTATGGTAATGGTGACATAAAGTAAGATTATTTTATAAAATAAATACACTAAGATTCTTTATTTTTAAAGTCTATTAGTGATGAGCGAACTGACGTTTTTTCTGCAATACTCGCGCAAGACCAAGATCAGCATGTCTGGCATGCGTATTAATTCATAAATATTTTCATGTCATTTTACATGTTATCTGTCAAAATCTTCCCTAATTCGTTGGATAGACTTTTGATCATTCAGGGTCAGTTTTTAAACGCAAATATTTTCGGGGCTGGTATAGTTCTCGATAAAATAAACATATTTTTTCTTTACCGATTTTCAAATAAGTCCAAAACAGCCGAGTTATTTAAAAAAATTTGCTTAAATTTTGAAAACTATTGGATTTTTTCTGTATTTTTGCTCCTGTAAATTTAATCTACTATCTATACTGCCATATTATCAAGATAATATTATTATGTTTATTAACTAAAAATTAATAAAAAGAGAAAATCGAAAAATAAAAAACTTTTAAACCAAAATTTTCGCAAAAAAATGTTACAGACCTGTTTTTGGAGTTGAAATATATCACTCCTAAAAATATTTGTACTTATTTAAGACTCGCTCTGTGTATGCGACGGGTGAATTTGTTTGGAAGTATCGGTATATTAACATGCAGTACTTAATTTTATCAATTTTTATTAAAAAATTATAATCCAGTTCTGATGTGATTTGTAACGTATGCAGCACAAATCTTAGTACTGCTCACAAACGCAAAAGAGTATACTTAATACTTTCTTTCCGCTGCTTTTAATTTTCCTTTTAAAGTAAGAAAAAGTCTGTCAATCTGTCCAACGAGTCAGAGAAGAATATAGTCAGAATATGGACATCCAAACTATCCAAACCACGACAGAAAATACAATTTACCTGTGAATAAAAATCACTCAGATATTCTCTGGTTAGACAAAATTTAGATAAATAAATTCAAAATTTATTTTTCGACGATGAAGTGCGGATTTTGTCCAGGTTTCAGAACTCACTTGTCCAGTGGCGGACTAAGCCTGTCGGGGCCCCGGGGCGGCGAAGCTAAATGTGACCCCCGGCCCCGGTCTGTTTAGATAATGATATACTTCTAATGCACATTTTGTAAAAATTGAATGATGTATGACGTATTACGTGTGTATAATGGTTGAAAAAATTCAAGTATTTATACAGGGTGTCCTGGCTGAGCCTGCGTTAGAAGTTTCTAGAGAACTACAATATCTAGATACGAGATTTAGTGCATATCATTGTTTCACAATGAGATCTATCGATTATAAATATTTTCAATATGGCGGCACTTTCGGAAATACCGGAAATTGACAGCAACTTTCTTATTTTAAATGGGTGAGCCCATTTTTTATTACATACTTAAATTCTCTGTAAAATTTTATGAATTTTGATATTAAACACTCTATACCTAACGTTAACCGTTTTTGAAAAAAAAATATATTCATAATTTGCGGAGGAAAAAAACTGCCTTTCAAAAATATGTATATAGCCTAAACATCAAATTTAGTGATTGCCACAGCCACTGTACCATAAAGAGAAGACATGTGGAAGACTATGTCAAAAATTAAATTGTCCGAATGTCATATAATACTGGCCGCAGCGGTCATGGAATTGAGCGATTAAAAAATTATCATAATCATTTTTTTTCAAATGGAAATCCACTTTTTTTATTTCGCTCGTGAAAAGGCTTTCGTTACTTTCGTTTTTAAAATTTGTTACTTTTTGACTATGCATGTTCCTGTACCTAAAATAAATCGTAAGTTATTTAAGATTTAGCTTTAAAGCGTATATTTTTCTTGATTTTAACAAGTAGCCTAAGACAGTATATTATCGATCATCATTTCCAAGCTAACTTTGCGCTGTTTTGTTTTCTATCGTACGGTATATTATTAAAATTTCAACTATTAGATATCACTCACGGGGGTGTCACTTGTATGGGAAAACAGGCAACAGTCAAATTTAAACGTGCCAGGACCAACGACAAAGAAAGCAACATCTGCCAGGCATTGGCTTTCTTTGTCACTCACATTGCTTAAATCATGATCTATGATCATGATACCGCGGCCATTTTGTCAACAAAGAAGCTGGCCGGGCTGTCCTGGCAAGTGATTTAAAACAATTTTGCTTTTTTACAATATTAAATTACCATTTGGATGTATTTAATGCGATTATTCAGTTAACTGGTAAGTCAGAAATTACACACAAATACTTTATTCGTAAATACAACTAAGATGTAAACGTATTTTTAGATTTCAACTCTTGCAAAGACCCGCCGATAGAACTTGCCTGGCAGCGTACCTGTTTAACTAAACGTATTATTTCCTGATAATAATATCAAAACACGTAAGTACCTCTATAATTTATGATGAAAAATGATTTTGATTATGTTTTATATTATTTAAATACTTTCTAACCTCAAATAATGGTAAGATCCTTGTTTATATCGCACAGCCCGTTCAAAACTGTATTGTCTTCAAAAAATGTTTACAAAACAAACAATTATTAAAAAAACAATGTCCTTTTAATCTGATTTATACCTCAGACGGATGCCAGTAAAATTTTATTAAATCAACATTATATTATTTGGCCGTTAATATGCAAAAAGGAGCATATTGCCTTAACTTAAATTTTCTTTTACTTCTCCTGACAATGTTCTCTATATTCTCTATTTTGAGTTAGTAAACTTTTGAACGGGATGTGCGATATATAAAATACATAATATATCCAAGGGTATGATCTGATAAAAGTATTTTTTGATGCATTTTTTGGTTGTTTATGCACGTTGACTTGGTTTATGTTTTATTCAGCTTATATCTATTTGGTATAACAGTTTTTTTTGCCTTTGGAATGGCATGCATTGAGGCTAGATAGTGTTTCATTAGATCATTAAAGGAATTTAAATTAGCATTTTTTTTGTCATATTAGTGTGTTATCATGATACAGGTAGTTGTATCATAGTGCCTTATGCATGTTATTTACCTAGTATATACTTATGTAATGTATTATCAGTAAATAGATGATAACATACTACTAAAATGTCTTTTTAATAGTATGTTTATCTTTCCAATTCACTAGTTATTTGCAAAATGTATTTTGAACTAATTTAAGTCATTAATTGATCATCTTTCTTTTTCAGGTTCCGGGATATTCTTTTTCATTGTTAAAAAAATATATATATTTCAATATTATTGCAATATAAATCGCAGCTCTAAAATAAATGATATTGTTTACTAATGTGTAATTTATTTACTATGAATTTTCTCTGAAAATAATAAGTCTTTAATAATATCATTGATTTGCTGTGTAAAGTTAATAGACATATTTTTTAATACATTAAATTATATTAAAGTAATAAAAAATATGTTTATTAACTTTAAACAGTAAGTCAGTGATACTTGGTGATACTTATAAAAATATTTTTTTTAAAATTTCCCCTCTTTTAAGCCCCGCCCCTCCAATTCCCCTCAATTTAGCTAGTACTGCCAGGCGACACCAGGTGGCGTCTGTTTCCATTTTTTAACATGAAGTTAGCATTTCTTTAATGTACCTATTCTCTGATATCACTAAAGAACGAAAATACGGAAATATATTTATATAAATACACTTTGTAAACTTTAAAGGCAGCAGTAGTTATAATATAGAAAATACAAATAATTCATTTTTTGACGAAAAATATACGTTTTCAAACTAAATCTTAAATAACTTAAAAGCGATTTATTTTAGGTATAGGAATATGTCTAGTTGACATATTCCTATAATACGAAATGGAAAACCTTTTCACTAGTGAAATAAAAAAAGTGGGTTTCCATTTGAAAAAAAATATATTTATGATAATTTTTTAACCGCTCAATTCCATGACAGCTACCGCCATTATTATATGACATTTGAACAATTTTAATTTTTAAATAGATAGCCACACATGTCTTTTCTTTATGTCACAGAGGCTGTGATAATCACTAAATTTAACTTTTAGGTTGTACAATTTTGTTTGACAGGTAGTTTTTTTCGTCCAAAAATTTTAAAATTTTTTTTCTTAAAAATGCTTCCAGGGAAATACCGCGACAAAATATCGCGATTTTGTAAGACTTCCAAGATCCGAGGGGCCCTTCGCTGTCTCCGGCCCGTGGTCCCCGTTATACTAAAGACTTCACTGCTCATCATCAGTAAATGAATCTAGAATACAAGTTATGCTGTGCATTGGTTGTAATTTAAAATGTTTATTCAGTAAAAATAAATAATGAAACCATTGAAAAATAACTTAAAAGCTAAAATAAATAAATTCAGTCTGAAAATATTAATAATAATTCCTATAAAAATTATTAATAAAATATTAATAATAATATATTAATAATTCCTAAATAGAAAATGCCATTGACAATTACTGGGCCTGATAATTGATAATTAAGTAAATATATCTGCTTCCATTTATACCGTTTAAAGTTGGCGTGTACGTATGGTTTGCATACTCCACCTACAAACATATTGGCCTTGTTTGCCAGTTGAATAAAAAATTACTTATTAAGATTGGGTGGCCCCCTAAAAGACCGGGCCCGGTGTGGACCGCACCTTACGCCCCCCCCTTAGTCCGCCACTGCATCACTTGTCAGGAATCTCGAAAAACTTGTATGGAACCCTTATATTTTATGCTAATCGGTTGTAGAGGGGAGAAGCAAGAAAGAGAAATAATTCGTCGGTGAAATGTGATAAACTGCTAACTCAATTACTACTAATTATAGAGGAGGGCAAAAAACCGTACAAAAAAATATGTGCGCATGTAGCAAGAAGTACCGTATGATCGAATAAAAACGGCGTCAGCGATGGCTATGAAATGAAGATCGCTGTCATTTTATATGTAAAATTACATGGGAAATGTCATCGATCGTCATTTCATGACCATGGTAAGGGTGTATGGGAAGGGGTTAAATTTTTTAAAAAATCGTAACTCCAAAATTACAGTAGCTAGCGAAACGCGGTTTTCAATTTAAGATTAGGAATAATATTTGCAACAAGATTTGTAATAACATCAAAATCAATCAAAGTCGCAGTTTTTGAGATAAAAAAAATTCGAAAAATCCCTTTACTTTGAAACTAAAAGAACTGCCTACCAACTTTTTATTAATATATTTTAGTAAGGGCGGCTATACGTGCCTCCCAGCGCCAATTTTTAATCTTAATTTAAAGATGCTTCGAAAATTAGTTAATATACTTTTTGTAAATTTTAGGCTTGCCGTAAGAAGAGTTAAAGTGAATATATGTACAAACATATCGCTCAGCTCCCCAATCCAGCTTCAATCGTTATATGTGAGACCCGAATTCAGGTCATGTCAGGTAATATACAAAATTCGAAACACGATAATATACAGGGTGCTACAAATTCGAGGTACGAGCATTGGTATCTCGGACACCGTAATAGATACGAAGATGGTTAAATTGGGGCAAAGTTGCTCCTTGGGATGTTCACCAAGATGTCAATAAAAAAGTTTTTAAAATGTCAAGGATTGCTGAGTTTTTTGAAAAAAAAACGGATTTTTTTGAAAATCAACTTTATTTTTTCCTGTCGTTACTTTTTAGAAAATCAAAAAACTAATTACATATTTTTATAGCCACTTTAAAAATACTCAGATCAGATAGCCCTAATCTGATAGTATTTTTAGATTTTCAAATTACCACACACAAAAAATTTCAAGGAGGACAACTTATTTTTTTTAAATACGAACCTGCATTTTTTATTTGAAATGTTGAGAGAACTCGGTCTCCTGAGTACAATGATATGCCACACTTGATACTTTTCTTGTTTTGGGTACCTTAACAATTACAAAACTGTTTAATTATTATTTAAAATAATTTCAAGTCCGACTCTGGTTTTTTAAACTATTTAATCTACATGTTCGAAAGGGTTACCACCCTGGTTACCACCCTCCCTAATGTACATTTTTTTTGCTCAATCTTATTTATAGCTCTTTGGACATATCTTCATATCTTCTTCTTATACTTCCGAATTCATTTTTTCACACCACTGCATAGTTACGCCAATGGCAATTTACGATTTTTATACGAACAGTACGTTTACTAGACGTATATAATACTCTGGAACAGTGTTGTTTGGGTAGTTTACCATAATATACCATAACACTTTACTTTTGAAACTGGACGCGCGTTTCGTTAACTATATTAGCATCATCAACATATCATGAAATTTATGATTAAAACAATTTTTAATCCTGCGGTAATTATTCTAACATGGTTAGCAAAACAAGCGTCCAGTGGTAAACTGTAAGATTCTAAACTCAACTGTATATTTTATATAGGTTCAAATATGGTTCAGATAAAGTATAGGACTCCTTACACTTTTTGTAATAATTTTAGTTTTGTGAAGTACCTAATGTTAGTGCATAAAATAAATTATATTTCAGGTAAACATTACTGGATTTTGGAACAATGACGAATTAAGTAACATCCTCACTGATGCTTTCTCTTTATTGGAAGGTATTATATTAACGTTCTGGAATAGTGAGATTGATTGCATCTCCTGTCTGTTAAGTTCTACACTACAAAGCATCGTTAACGGAGTATTAAATCAACAAGTAACAATTCGTAGTGTCTCAGATTACATATCCGTTATGGAAAACTCATGCCAGGTAAATAGTGATATTAACAGCTAAAATTCTAATATAAACACACTGGAAAAATCTAGGAATATCGTTTTATTAAAATTAAAAATAAATGTTTTGAATAAACAACTACATCTAGGCCAATTCTTTCTACTTCGATTGAAACGATGTATAGTCACACTTGTTATTTCTAAATTTCGCATATTTGCTGAAGTTTTTGTGCATTTTTTGTCAAATATATAAAAAGCAACTAGGATCAATTGTTCGAATTTAACCTGTACTGGCTATGTATTTATGATAACTGGCCAGAATTTATTCAAATAACTTTGTTTAGTATTAAACAACGTTATGGAGCGTAGACATCTTAAGAGAGATGAAATGCTAAGGGTATGCTCGAAGCTGGAATGCGCCAAATCGACGTATCTAGAGCATTAAATACAACGCAAAGTGTAATATTGCGATTAAGTGCACGCTACCGTGAAGGTGTGATGTTGCTGAAAGACACACAGGGCGACATCGCATCACTACCCCTCAGCAAGATCATTTTTTACAATTAAATGCTCGACACCGACCGACTCTTACAGCACCAGAGCTTAGTTTAATTCTCCAGGTAACACATAATGTAACCGTTAGTCCTGATACTGTTCGCAATTAAGAGAGGTCAACTTAAGAAGCAGACGCCCCTGGAGAGCTCAACTCTTAACGACAGGAAATCGAAAGGTACGATATTTGTGGGCTCGAGATCATGTTCTGTGGTCGAATGAACAATTGGCCAATGTCCTCTTCACGGATGAGTCAGGCTTTGGAATTCATCCGGATTCAAGAAGGCTTAGGGTATGGAGAGAACCAGGAAATTGTATTCGGTTGGATCATGTTCAGGAAGTGCACCCTTATAAATGTGGAACAATTATGGTCCGGGGAGAAGTCCAGTTAGTCCGAAAAACCGATCTCGTTTTTCTTGAAAGGTTTCTAACAGGAATTACATACCGTGATTTAATGAGAAACTTCATTTTCATGCATGACAATGCACGGAGTGGTAAGTGAGTTTATCAATGCTCATCAATTAAACATTTCCTGGCCGGCGCAATTTCATGACTTCAACGCCATCGAGCACGTATGGGATGCGGTCCAAAGAAGAATTTTGAGAATGGGTATGCCTCGTGAAACTCGTAAGGATCTGGTTCGGGCCGTGAATGCAGCGTGGCGGGTTGTACCTCAAGAACAGATCGACAACCTGATCAGAAGCATGGAGAGACAATGTAGGGCTGTAATGAATAGTAGAGAAGGCCATACCCTTTATTAAGTAAAAATGTTTTTTTTTTATCACAGTTTAGAATAAAAATATTTTTGTGTATTTTTCTGAGTTCAATAAAAATCAAGGTAATTTCGCATTTTTATTTCCAAAACGTCCTCTAAACCATTTTTTTATTTTAATTTTATTATATCAGAAATGCAAAAAATAAAATTACTGACGATGGCGAGATAAAATATTAATATCCCTAGACTATTCCGGTGTCTTTAGTTCGTCGTAAGCATTGTTTTCTGTCGCCAAACCAGACCAAGCAGACAAAACAACGACAAGACAGAAACATTCATGTTTTACGACAAAATTGCGACAAATCCAATACATTTCTGCGACATTTTTGTCTCATTTTTGTTTTGTTTCAAAATTCGGAGACTTTTCAATGTCCCGTCTCGAGTCGGTAAAGATCAAAGTGTCTATGTTTTGTTCGTATATTTTACGACAAGCTGTCGGCACAGTGTGGATGGCGTATGCTGCCAACAGTAGGAAATCAGTGAAATCACACATGGTTAATAAAACTCATTCGCAGCAACTAAACTTTTGACTTTGATGTACTTCTGTCCTTGCGGTGTGGACAATTTGTCTCAAGGTTGTCTTGTAAGAATCTCCATTTTTTGTCGCAAGTTTGTCTTGTTTTTGTCTCAAAATCGTGTTTACTTTTTGTCGCCTTGGTCTGAACCTGGCATAACATTTTTCAGTTATATAGTATTTCTAATTTTGAAAAAAATGGCAAAAGAGAAAGTGGAACACGGAAAATACCTGCAAATTAATAGAGCTTTATAGAGCGCATTTATTATTATGGGATGGCGAGTCAACATGGGATGGCGAGTCAAAGACAACACTACTGACTGCTAGTAATATATCTACATCTTCTTCCTGGTGGAAAGTCCACATGATTAATAAAACTGATTTGCATATACTGAACTTTGTTGTACTTTTATCCTTGCGTTATAGACACTTTGTCTCAAATTTGTCTTGTCTGAATTTATCATTTTTCACTTTCAATGTTCACTTTCTGCCGTCTTGGTCTGGATCAGGCATGATATTGCCTATTGTTCCAACTTACCCTTATTAATCCTTATATTTTACAACATGTGGCAACCATGCTAACTGAATCTTTTAAACTCACTGCTATCGTCCAGGGCATTCACTAATAAAAGTTGGTTTCAAACAATGACTAAAGAATATAAGGACATGTAACGCCCCTATACGGGCTGCAGCAGAATTTTTGACCTTAGACGCCTTTTCTTTTGGTGGCAAACAATGAGTCATCAGTAGGTCACCAGCGACAATTTTAGCAATTTTTAATAGTTCGTGTGTAGTAAACTTTGTATAAACTTTATTACAATGCTGATTAGTTGTTCAGCTTTCAAATGTAAAAGCAGCAGTGACAAGAAAGAGCCAGGAGTTACGTTTCATAGGTAAATAAACCGTCCGCTGCACCTTTTTAGTGTTTTCTAAAGTTTTCTTATTGAATTCGATAATTATTTGTCTGATATTATATGTACTTGATGTGTGCTATACGTCGATACTAGTTTTGTACCTTTTGTTAACATTTTAATACGTTTTTTTCGTAATTAATTAGTATGATGCCACCGCCTACACCACAGGCGTAGTCAAAACATTTATCAAAAATATAAATATCCCTTCAACTAGCTAAGTTAAGAAAAAAATATGGCTACGGCACTGTTTGGTGCCATGGTAACAATTTGCTCCCGGGTGTTATTTGTCCTTGAATTCTTTAGTCATTGGTTTCAAAAATAGTTGTTGAACTTTTACTGGCGTAGTCCTAACCTAACCTAAACAAATCAGTGAATGTGAGCTTTTACTAGTAATTGTCAACAATCACTGATTTCCAACTTTTACTGTAACATTAATATAAAACACTAATTAGGCCTCTAAAATGTTTCAGGATGCATGCGGAACATCAGAAAATGATGTAATAAAGAAGATATCTAAAGGAGAAATGTCCCAGAGTTTACAAGCATTGACTGATGAAGATTTAAAGATCTATATCACAACATTTGCAAAATTTGCAGAAGAGTACTTAAATCAAGTGTATACAGAGTATTCCAATTAAAATTGTTTTTAATATACATGTATGAGTTTTTCTTGTACATCTGAATCGTTCAACTTTTTTAATCTACACTCAGATGCAAAAAAGAAGCAACGGATTAATTTTTCGTAAAATTTAAAGTTTTTTACAGGGTGACACTAAAAACACGATTACAAGGGTTTTATCGCGAAAAATTTTTTTGGCAAATTTGGAATTTCTTGGAAAATAACTCGATTATTTTAGATTTATTTGAGAAACGGTAAAGAGAAAATATGTTTCTCTTATCGAGATCTACCAACCCTGAAAATATTTGCACTTATTTAAGGCTCACCCTGTATTAGTCCTATATTTATGATTTTTTTAGCTGGATATAAATATATCCACATTATTTCTCAATCTCAGTTTTTTTATAAATTTTAGTATTTGGCTTATTATACAGGGTTAATGGAAGGGTTGTTTTTTACCCTAATTTTAAAACAACCTGTGCAATAATTTCGTGGAGAAATTTTCCTAAACCATTATTTTTCGGCCAGCTCCTGAGCAGTTTGTTTTTTGGCTCAAATAAAAATTATGACTAACTTAAAAAAATAAAATATATTGATTATATAGATTCCAAATATCTTGAGAGATTTCCATAGCGAGTTTTACCAAGATACCCTTTTTACGTAAAAAACGGTAGAAATGTATTTTTTTTATTTTAACAGCGTAATACAGGTACAAACAAAAAGAAAAAAAATTAAATTAAAACGTATCAAAAAAATTCCCAGAAAATAAATTATTGATAGACAGGGTCGAATTAAAAAAATACTGTAATTGACTGAAACTGACTTTTATTTACACAATACTTTTGTCTAAACAAATGAATCGTTAACCGCGCATACTCCTCGAAAAGTAAAAATGAAAAAATCAATTAAACATTTTTCGTCATACTATATTGTTATATTATTATAACATAAGCAAAATCAGAATGGAAAAGATGCATATAACGTCCGCCGGACGTTATCATAACGGCCGGCGGCCGTTAAGTTTCTAAGGTAATCGTAACGTCTGTCACCTGCAACAATGACTATTTATTGTCAGTTGGACTTTTCAAAAATTGGGAAAATAGACCATAGCGAGATGTCGCGAGAAATTCCGTTGGAAATACAGGAGGAAGCGGCTGCGGCTACTCAAAATTTACTTCCGACTATAACCAGAGAGAGATATCAGCAGGAATATGACAATTTTTTTTGAAGTGGCGGCAGGATAGAAGTATAAACAGCGTAAATGAAGCGGTATTGCTGGCTTATGCTAAAAGAATGTCTGAAATGTATTCTCCTACATCACTGTGGACAAAGATATCCATGCTGAAGCTTGCGTTGAGAGTATATGAAAACATCGACATATCAAGGTAAAAAGCCATTATATTCTTCGATATTTAATCATATTCATCTAAATTATATTTGTTCATAGATTTGGTAAACTGTTCATGTTTCTGAGGCGCAAAAACGAAGGTTATTCACCAAAAAGCCAAAGTTCTGTCGGAGAATGACATAAATAATTTTCTACTGGATGCCGATGATTACACCTGGTTACTCGAAAAAATTGTATTGGTGCTTGGTATTCTTGGAGCTTGTAGGCGCAGCGAGCTTTGGTCACTCACAGTTGATGATTTCGAAGATTCGGAGAAAAATATTCTTGTCTCATTAAGAAATACTAAAAATAAGAAAGATAGGAAATTTCTTATTCCAAAAACGGGCCTTCCGTTTGATGCCTATGGTTTATACAAAAATACATCAACCTGCGTCCTCGTAACTTTGACAATCCAAAATTTTTCATTGGTTACAAGAAAGGCAAGTGTGTTAAGCAAATTGTCGGTATACATACCATCGGGAGCGTACCGCAGAAAATTGCAAAATTTTTTGAACTTGGAGAATCCAGAACGTTATACAGGGCATTCATTTCGTAGATCATCAGCAACCATGCTCGCCGAAAATGGTGGTGATTTACTATCGCTAAAGGAGCTAGGAGGATGGGAGTCTTCAACAGTGGCAGAAACTTACATAGAAAAATCAGTTTCCAAAAAAGAATGAAAATAACAAATCAACTTTTTCATGATAGCTCCAAAAATAATGTGTCTTTAGTGGATACAAATATTTGCCATTCTTCAGTACCATCATCTTTCTTCTATAAAATCTGTAAATCCCTGGAAGGATTACAGATTTCTAAGAACAACAAGTGCACTTTTAATTTCCATGTTCATTATCATGAAAAATGAATTTTAGTATAAGACATTATGTATTTTTTATCCTTACTTGTGTTATTGTTCAATAAAATTTGTTATTAAATAGTAGTGTTTATTGCTCTAAAAAATCTGCAGTATGACGAAAAATCTAGAACGCAACACGGCCGATAACAAATAACGGCCTTGGCTGCTTATGATCCTCGGCTATCGCCTCGGATCACAAACTTCAGCCCGGCCGTTATTTGTTGTTTATCGGCCTTATTACGTTAATAACTATAACTGTAGAGAATAGACAATTAAAATTAAAAAACATGCCAGGAGTTACAATCAACGGACATGAAACGGTACGCCAGCTACATCTCGGGCAGGTTTTGTGCCACGAAATTGCCCATAAGGTTGCGCATCTTCCTATTTCTTCAATCAACGTTATATAGGTAAACTATATTGTAAATAGCATAAAAATAATTAATAAAACTAAGGAGAAACAAACATATATTTTTATCAGCGTAAAATCATTGGAAATAAGATAAATTCCATTTTTGCATTGACTCAAACTACTTAATTTAGATAAGGCAAAATCGGTAGGGATTAACCATGAAAAATTTGAACGGAGAGCTTAAAACTAATCCTTTAGAAAAACAACGTAAATGAAATTAATTCTATTTAATGTTCCGTTATTGTTCAGTAAACTGAGACTACAAAATGCACGGTAAATACTGCAAATATTGAATTCAGTTGAAATACTACATATAATTCTTTTTTAGACATAAATATACTGACCGATATTATAATATTTCTTAATAATCTAGCAGGCTTTGGAGTATACGAAATATGGGATTCAAAAACATTTAACTTCTCAACTATGGAAAATAATAACTTAAAGTAAGTACTTGCTTTAACTCTATATTCAGCTAAAATACAGGGTGAGTTTTCTACATTGTTCTCTATGCTATATCTCTACTGCTGGAGATAGAGAGTTGGTTAAATGGGGAAAGAATTGCAGGATGATAAATATGCACTATATCAAATATGATTTTTGAAAAAGTTCAGGCAAAAAAACAAATTTCGGCTGTTTTAAAAATTGTCCCTAATTCCATTATAATCTATTTTAAACAAAAAGTTTTCAGATAAAAGTTTTATAATGTGTAGATAATCACATCCTTAATGAAATTTTGTCCTCCGTTTTTTTCTAAACCCTTTCATTTTTGACATATGACACAAATATATCTCCAAAAAATTATATAAGGGTATTTCGCTATATTCTTCTGCGTTAAACCCAAACAGAAACTAAAATAAAATGTTTTTCTTTTTTAGGCAAATTTGTATAATTGTTACTCAAATTTGTATAATTTATATAATTGTAAACATAACAAAAATAGTTTCCGTTTGGGTTTAACGCAGAAGTGTTTACAAAAAATAACTATTTTATTTTGTAGATTTTCTTGCAGTGCAGTGGCGAAATACCCATATAGGATTTTTTGGAGAGATGAATCCGCCACATAGGTATAGACATTTTTTACACAAATATATGTTTTTTTAGATGAAAACCATAGTTGGTCATGGCTTTATAAAAAGAGCCATTTTTAAGGTTTTCAGCGATATAAGCTATAGGGTAGCGCGGGGCAATAAGAGCCACCTAAGGAAAACCTGAAATAAAATGCTACTTATTCCACTCCTTGCAACCAATTTTCTTTTTCTAGATAGTTCGTGATGTGTAAAATAAAATATAAGTATCAGTTCTCTGTTTTAGATAAACATTACTGGTATGCAAAAAAAAACTAAAACCTATCATTGGCTCTCATTACCCATAACAGTGGGGAAATCGGAGCCACTTTATTTTACATATTTAAATATGTTAAGAACATTGTCAAACAAAATTTGAATTATTTTAGGTAAAACACAAGAGAAAAATACATATGTCTGAAATATTTTAAAATAAAAATTCAAATTATTTCAGTTGATATATTATATATTCCACTCTGGCTCCGATTACCCCGTTTGTTTACATATTTGCAAGTTAAAAATAACAAAATTAAATGCGCTAACAGAAGCAAAACAACTGCGCAGATCGAACCTACACTTCAGTAGATTTCGTTTAACACCCGCTATTTTGTTCTAAAGCAAAATATAAATACAACTTACCACTAATTTTTTAAAACGTGCACTGTATAAGGAAGTCCCGTAAACACGATGCTTTTTCTACAGACTTGGAATCACAAAACACATACACAAGAAGAAGTGCGAGCGCCTTGCTAAATATTGGAAAGTGAAATTGACGTTTAAATTTGACACTGTTGACAAGTCTACTGCTACTAGCGCCCCCAATTTCGCTTGTAGGAACTACGGACTAAATTGTCACGCATGGCGGGAAGTTTAAAAATAAAAAAATTTATTTCTTCATTTATTTTTAATTATGACATACACAAAAACACAAAAAAACACCATTTTTTAAAAATATGTTTAATATCAATATCAAATATACTACAGAAATTAATTTCACCACAATAAATTAATAAAATTAAAAGAATAATGTTACAAGTAGATCAAGAGAAAAAATTAATTATAACAAAACTGAAAAATATGGCGTCATAGATGGCTTAGAAATAAAAGATATATCATAATTTTGAAAGTAAAATTATATGGGAAATGTCTTCGATCATCATTTTTAAGCCAACTGGACGATTATTTCAAACATACAAGCTGAGTTCGTTCATAGTGCTCTGAGAAATCTAGATAAACAAAGAATAATAAATTAAAAGTATTCCAGGGGAAAAGAGAGGAAAAACCTGTATCGTCTCTGATATCTGTCAGGGTATTGTTGAAAGTGTCATCTTTTTGCTCGAAGTTTTCAGGTCGATCAAAAAGATGACATTTACAACAATACTTTGCTGTAACTTTCACAAATATCAGAGAGAGTACATACAGGTATTGCCTCTCTTTTCCTCTGGGATGCTTTATATCTGTTGTTCTTTGTTTATCTATATTTCTCAGAGCATAATGCCGAACACGACTACAGTATATAATAATTTCAATATCCGAAGTGGAAAGAAAAAAGATCACCTTTCTGTTTTGTACTATGGTCCCTTTCTTCCGATGGCTCATCTCGTTGATATTTAGGAAGGATAAATAGGAAGGAAAATATAAAATTCAATTTGATTTGATGATCCTTTTCTGTCACCTAAAATCAGGAGAACGACAATGAGCATGTTAAGATGAAAAAAAAATTATCAACACTTACCTACACGTTAGTCCGAGGAGTTTTATTAAAAACCTATATATTTGCCTAAATAATTTATGTATTAAATTTGCAAAGCAAAATGCAGCGTGTAAACAAAAGAAATAAAATGGCGACAAGTCAACGTCAACGACCCGACAAGGAGAAAAGTGGTGTTCGAATAACAATTATGGGTCACCAAAAATTGTTTTTGTCTCCTTTCAACGCACACTTTAGAAAGAAAAAGAGATGAACTGGAATACTGAAAGAACGTCAAGGCTTTATCTGTCACTCTTGTCAATAATTTATCGGTAAGGAAGATTCCTAGAAAATCGCTTGTAGTCAAGTTTTCAACCATTGCCAGTTCTCCCATAAGAAGTGTCATCCACCTGCTTGGAATCGTACTAAAACAAAGCGGTGGTTGCTTTAGGAAACATTTAATGGGGGATCCCGCGTATAGCAACTGTCAGTGCTCAGATCAGGGCGCGTTATTCAAAATTACACAATGGCTCCCATTACCCAATGGCTCCCAATACCCCGCGGTACCCTAATATGTTTTTTTTGAAAAGTTACTGAGTTATAGCCAGTTCTTATCATTTTTAAACAATTTCAATTAGCCTTGAAAACAAGTTCAATTGTCATAAAAAAACATTGTGAATATGAATTTTTTAAATGAAGAAAAGCGTGTAGGATTAAACTTTTCTTGACCATACATTTTCGAGGATACATTGACCGGTGAACGTTACTTACGTTTTTTAGAGAACGATTTTCAAGACATCGTGACCCTAGAATAAGATTGTTCTATAAACCATTTCGATGAAACTGAGAAAACAAGGTTTAAAGTTTAAACTGGATATCCGTGAACACTATATACCAAAATGGTTCTATTAAACATATACATTAAAGATAATATAAAAACCTATCAAACATATGTATTTATTTTACTTTTAGAAGCTTTATTTAAAAGATATTATTGATTTTAGATTTGGATATAGAACAAATGTGTCTATTAGCTGTGCATTGAGCCGATTTTAGGGATATAGATCAAAATAAGGGGATATAGAATAATATAATACTCATTTTAAGCTGATTCAAAATATTATTTCAACACAAAATATCTGAAGTGGAAACATTAATTCATTAACTAAAAACAACATAAAAAAATAATAACCTAAAATACAATAGTAGTAATTATTCGTTTGCATTGTTTATTAAAATCTATCATTTTTCCGCCTATTTGTTTGGTATGTATAGTGTTAGAATAAGTTATTCAGATTTTAAATCTGATTTTTAACTTTTATTGGATTATTTAAATGTTTTTTCAGCTATCTCTAGTATTGATAGTATTAGAGAACGCTTGAGCAGTCAACTGAGTTGAAGCAGCTGGTTTCACAAAATTCCAAAGTCTGAAACATTCGAATTTGCTAACAAATCAGGCAACCAGTGCTTTTCAAACGAACGATTAAGCAGTCAATTGCGTTGAAGCAGTTGGTTTCACGAAATTCCAAAGTGTGAAACATTCGAATTTGCTAACAAATCAGGCTTAAAATTAAAAAAAGCTTAAAAAATGGGGTTTTTTATGAAGTCATGGCCAACTATGGTTTCCATTTAAAAAACATTTCACACAATTTCATTAAGAATGTGATTATCTACAACTTTTATCTGAAAACTTTTTGTGTAAAATAGATGATAGTGGAATTAGAGACAATTTTTAAAATAGCCGAAACTTGTTTTTTTCGCAGAGTATCTAGTAAGCCATGAACTTTTTAATAAATCTGAAAGGTGCATATTTATAATCCCACAAAACTGCAACTCTTTCCCCATTTAACCGACTCTCTATCTCCAGTGTAGTTTCCCAGATACCCATAGAGAACATCGTAGAAAACTCACCCTGTATATGCCAAAATTCCATTTAGGAATGAAGGTTCTATAAAAAAAAATTAATGAATTTATTGATCTTCTAGTGGAATTTTAACAATTACTAATCCGAAATTGTTCGCAACTGTATCAAATTATCAAATGCATTTGACACCTAGCGTTATCCAAACTGATGAAGGTAATTTCAAAGCATGCGTAAATGATTTAGGACTATCCAGTTGGAACTTTACTATGGACTATTATGCTGATATTGGAATTAATAACAAAACACCTATTTATGGCGCAGGAACTTACTGGTGCGTGCAAAATTTAACAATGTTTTCTTTATAATTTCACAGCATGTCTACTTGAAATTATGCAATTGTCCGTTACATGTATATATTATTTAGGTCTTTTATTCCAGGATCCTATACGGGGTAAGTAAAATTCGACCCCTGCCATTAGGATCTTAAAAACCATAGGAGATATTGTATTTACTAAGATTGAGTTTCAGGTGGGACCCTACACTGCGGCCGCGAGGGCCTATTGTTGCTCAGTTCTACAAACACTTTAAACAAGAAAGACTATTAAAGTTTACCCCCAAGATCCAACCTTTTAACATAGGCTGTTGTGTCCGAGGGTGATATATCTCTTATTATATAGATGGAGATATATGTATATCTCCATTTCCATAATTTTCGTGTAAATTAAAGGATTGTTTTCTATTATGTCTTATATCTATTCTAGTTTCCATTTAAAGTTTTTAAAAAGCGCAAAACTTTACTAAATGTTCATCCAGCTTGGGTTATATTTATCAGATTTGTACCACATATGTACCTAGTTAAGTTTTAACTTGTCGCGTTTTTCTTTCAACCAATTAAATCCATCTATAGAAAAAACGATTTTTTACAAATTATTAGCGTTTAAAAGCCACCACGCATAACTTGTTGTACCTACATCGTTAGAATCACAATGAATTTATCTTTTTAGATATGTAAAATATAAAATATTACGCCTGTAAGAAAACATAAAGTTGATGATGTTGGTCAAACATCGGATGACAAATCTGAAAACATTGTTGTAGGTATAGTTGGAAAAAGGTGGCAATGAAAATGCGTATTTAGTTTTGAAATGTCTTGTCAAATAACGCCTGAATAAAAATATAACCTAAATCTTCAATTTTCTCAAATATCACAGGAACTACTCATAATTTTAAATATTTCTGGATGGCTTTTTTCTATTGGCACATTAATGCATAACTTTGCCTTGAATTTATTGACACTTTTTTAGCATTAAAATATGTAGCACTTATAATAACTTTTACCCTTAAAATTTTATTCGAATCACTAAAAGTACTTGAAAGAAAATTATAATAAATCAAAAGGTTATTAAGAATTTAACATCCTGTAGCTACAAAACAACGCAGAATCGGACCTATGTTGATATGAAAAATAAATCTTATTTTTACGTGAGGAATCTCCCCACGAGAGATGGAACATGTTTTTGAAACACCCTGTATAAATTATTGTAAACGGTATAATACATATTTTGACGTAGTCCATGTAAAACAAACTATCTATATATCTATATATGTTTATCTTACGTAGGTATATCGTATACGTTATAGTTATAATTGAAAGAGAATGACAGAATCATAGGAACTAAGAAAGCCATGACAATTTTGTTTGTGGCCTCTTTGGTTCCACAAGAAAGTCTTCTAATATTCGTGTGAACAGCAATATTTTACTTAAAAGCAAATTAAGCCCAAATTGTCCCTTTTTGGGCATAAAATAAAATTACGTTTTCTATACGATATCTATACTAATATACAGGCCCGGCAATGGATCTCTAGGCATAGGAATTACATGCATTGGAATGAAACGCCTATAAAAAGTCTATGCTTAAACAGAGATGGACAACAACTTCCCCGTTTCTACTTCCACTACGACTGTCTACTTAGACAAACTCCAATAAGATAACAAATTCTGGAAATTCCGCCACCTCCCAACCACTCATGATACCCATCTCCCTGCCCTTTATTTATCGCCATTATCTTATTTCCCTTCCCGCGCCTCCGCACCTCGCTATTCCACTCCCGTCAGTTCATCACAGAGTTGCCAGGTCTACCGGTTTCGTCTGTAAGCTACCGATCTACCGATTTAAAGAAAAACCCAACGATATATTCAACTGCGTCTTTAGTTTTTACAATAGAAGCACTTTTAAAAAGCTGACTTATTTGACTAAAAATTAAGCGACTGCCGCGTTGGAATCTATATAATCTGACTTTATTATTGTTTCATTAAATTTTATTTAGTAATAACAGACATACAGGTCATCGTTCTGTCTAGTTGCAGAGTTACAGAGATATTCCTAAAAATCCTTATTACTCCTTATTAGGCGCGGGATTGGCGGCATGCCCGAAGAAGTTGATATCTTTTGAAAAGATTTTATTTCATTCATCTACTAAAGTTGAACCCATATTTTCCCCCAAAAAATGTAAACAAAAACAAAATTTAAGTTAAGAAACAACCTAAATTCGGACAATATTTAGTGATTTTCCCGTCAAAAAAATTTATTAATATGAAAAAAGAGTTGAGAGTTGCTACAGCTTTACCATTGAAATGAAATTAATTTTAGATATCACTGATCAAAATTTGTACAAAGGTAAAAAGTGACTGTTACACTAATTTGTGACTGCTATCCCTACTTGTTATAGTTTTATATGTTTTTATTAATATATTAATATTATTTAATTCAATATTTTTTTTTAATATCAAATAATATACCTAGCTATTTCTAATTCTTGTTATATTTATTATATTTGTATTTTATTTGAGTGATCTATTATTACGACACATAGGAATGCTAATTTTGGACTTAAATATTATATTTTATTTCGTTTCTGTACTTTTAATTTTTGTTGAAGATCTACCGAGAATTTTGTTCTCGTATGGAATTATAATCTAACCAACCCGGCAACCCTGTTCGGCTACTCCTTATAAAGTTTTTTTCGGCCTAATTCCTTTGTCACAGCCGCGGCTTTGTCAAGCGCCGCCGCCGACCGACTGTGTCGGGGCGACTGCTAGGAAGATCGTACAGTATTGCCATTTCATAGAATTGCACTTGCTATTTTAGAAATGATTTCAAAGTTTTGCATGTTACTTTTCGTTTTAGAAAGAAGTTATGTGCCTAGAGAAAACATTCTTAAAATTGTTTCGTACTTTATTTAATATTTCATTAAGTAGGCAAGATAATGGGATTAGAAGATTTAGGATTTTGACAAGCCAACATAATTTCGATTTAATTGAATGGCAACACTGTCCGTCCTGTTTCTATTTTTTCGATTCTGTTCTATTAGTAGGCGGTAGCCCCCACACAAGCGTCTTAAAGACCCGCCCGGCGCCCCCTCTCGCAGGGGCTCTATCGTCGTATCACTTCTATGATCACTTCCCCTATACAATGGTAGGGAAAAGACACTTTATCCGTCTCTGTTGCACTGCAGTGTATTTTGCAGCCTTACCATCTTTTTTTATCGCATTGAAAACCTCCTATTGCTAATATTCCTTTGCCAGCAGTGTATAAAGTCAATAGTGATATTTTTCGTTTTTAAATAATTATTGGAAAAAATGATTTTTTAATAACATCGCCTAATTAATTTTTCATATATAATATTTTTTAGGGGCCAACTTTCAAATATTACACTAACCATGTGTTGGTTAATGCCGCCTGATGTTGATGAAATTATAGATTTTGATATAGATATACAATTTAGACATGGTCCTGTAAGTATAACCCTTGTTTATATGCATAACAAAATATATTACCAGCAATGTGGCTGTGGTAAAAAATAGAGTAGATTTTTTTGAAAGCGATAGCATTTTTAAAATAATACACTAAATCACCACAATACACCTAAACACTTTTACTTTTGCACTGGACTCGCGTTTTGCTAACTATGTTAGCATCATCAGCAGATGATTAAAACTAAACTAATAACTCAGTTGATAATGGTACCTATAAACAAAATCAAAAAAGAATCCTTTGTCAAAGATGGTAGCAGATGTAAGTCTAAAACAATGTAATAATCTTCCTTTAAAAATATAACTGCAGGTATCCCTCAGTACGTAAATTGTATTCATTCGTTGGTTAAAATTTATTAACCGGTTAAATCTTTGCGCCTAATGGTTTTGACTGTAGGTTATTTTCCGATTTATTATTTGACAAAATGGTTATCAAGAAAGTTCGAGAATTTACCTAATCATGAATCCTCTTTCTCAGTTAAAAACACTATATAGTTCATTAACAAAATTAAAAATATAACATTCCATGGTGAAATTTTAGTCTCTTTTGATGTATCTTCATTGTTCTCAAGTGTTCCAATTCCACATACCTTAGACTACTTGAAAGAATTGCAGAACACAAATGGTCTCGACAACAAAATTGTAACTGAATATATCGAACTTACATTGCTCTCTATGAAATAAAATTGTTTTTATTTCAATAATAACTTTTTTGAATAGCGGGAAGGTACGCATTGGCGTAACTACAGGGGTGCCCCCCCAGGTACTGCTGGGCACCCCCAGAAAAATCTTAAATTATGACTATATGTATTAATTTTTATTTGCTTGTGATGTAGTAAAAATTACGTTTTCTAGTTTTGTTTAGTTAATATTATTTGGTTGTGTTCAAAAAATGTGTTAATTTTTATTTTTTAGAAAATTTGTAGGTATTTAAGTAGTCTACGGGAATATGGTTTGATAACCAAGTCTATGAAATGTATTGATAGAGAAATTCATGTAAACGTTTTATTCAAAAAAACATTTTTTAATAAACAAAAACCTAAGCCCCCCTGGGCTTAGCCCCCCCCCTAGATGAATTGCTAGTTACGATAATGAAGGTACGGCAATGGGTAATCCATTGTCTCCATTTTTGACTAATTTATTCGTGAGCATGTTTTTTTCTGACACCATACACAAGTGTGAGTTCTGGAAGTAGATGGGCAAAAAAAACTTACAATTATTTTGTATATGTACAGGGTCTCCCATTTTGGTTGAAATCATACGGTACCTCCGTTATTCGCGAAGATAGAAGGGTACGGTTTGCACAAACCTGTGCCACTTTTTTGTCAAACGGAAGATGCCGTAAACAAAATTTTTATAGCCCTCTTCACTTCTGAGCTATAGGGTCTTTTTGAAAATTTTGAAATTTAGGACAAGCGCGCAGGGGATTCACGCGCAGGACACTCCTTGTATCTCTGTTATTGTTAAAAGTATCGAGACGGTGAAAACTGTTTATTGTAGAACTTTTTACGTAGAATACAGTGCGTAGTCTGTTATTCTACGAAAAGAATATTTTTTAAGATATGAACTAAAGTTATGTTTTCATAAATGGAACACCCTATATATTTATAAATTATATGAACTGGTTTGCTATAAGCTTCTCAAAACTATATATCACTCTGTATTTATTTTCACTATTTACTGCAATATTTAAAAAAATATATATTAAAAGATTATATATTTATTTTATTAGTAGGCCATGATTGATAATAAAAAAAACTAAAGAATTATTAAAAGTATACTGCTACCTGTCTCTTCTTTTATTTTGAGAGCCATTAATAAATTCTTTATATATTAAGAAAACTTAACTCTCTACCGCTATTTGTAAATCTTGGAAGCTATCGTATCGGAACTTTTAAATATTCCTTTAGATAATTTACGTAAAATATACTTTCAGCCCAAGATGGGGCTCCCCTTCACAACTTAACTTGCAACAAAAATATTAGAATTTTGTTAAATTACTATTTCTCAAATCAATGACATGGAACCAATGGACCCATATCATATAAATCAGATTCCCGGATTTGTCCGTTCTCTATTTCTGATTTTGGGTATTTTTGAAATATGAAATATATCCTGGCAACTATAACTAATAATGCAAGCTTTTAGATATTTGCAATCCCATTATTCCGTTATAAAAAAAGAAAAATATATTCAGAGATTCAGTGGTAAAAGTTTAAAAGTAAAATATATCAATTCCAAATAAAATTTTAATATGTGTATGAATATTTTAGTAAATACCAATTTGATTTTTTATTTATCACGGCCTATTAATAAGAAAATGATATATTTTAAATATTGCAATAAGTAGTAAAAATAAATATAGAATGATATATATTTTTGAGAAGCTCATAGCAAAGCGGATCATACGATTTATAAATATACAGAGTGTTCCATTTGCAAAAACATAACTTTAGGTCATATTTTCAAAAATATTTTTTTCGTATAAAAACAGACTACGCCACTGTATTATTATGTATATATACATGTATTCTACGTAAAAAGTTGTATAAGAGTCAGTTTTCACCTTCTGGATATCGTCCATAATAACAGAGATACGGGAGCTGGCCTAAATTACAAAATTTTCGAAAATACTCTGTACCTAAGAAACGAAGAGGGCTATGAAAATGTTGTTGACAGCATCTTGAGTTTGACAAAAAGTTGGCAAAGGTTTGTGCAAACCGCACCCTTCTATCTTCCCGTATGATTTCAACTAAAATGGGACACCCTGTACATATATAATACTTTCTCTTAGGCTTTATGCTACAGAAGACATCAGTGACTGACATTAAAACACTAACTTTTTTATGATTATCATTAAGGCGTCCATTATCATGCTTGTCATACTATATGATCGAAAAAAAACGGCGTCCAGTTGGCTTGGAAATGAACATCGATTATATTCCCCATATAATTTTACTTACAAAATTACAGCAATCTTCGTTTCATAGCCACCCCTGATGCCGATTTTTTTCGATCTATTGTATTTCAAATACTAACTTCCAGTCATTTAAAAAATGTCAATCATTATGGTTATCTAATTCGAAAAATGAATCGATCTCGATAGTCTTCCTTCAATAAATGACTGGCAATACTTTGGCAATACCCAAAACGAAAGTTATTTTGGAAGAGCCATATTATTTTTAAAAATAAACAACAAACATCTTTGATTTACTGAACTTTTACAGGTTAGATAAATCACCCCGTTTGTTAAATAAGAAAATTTATAATTAAGAAACACTAATGTTGATTTAAAGCCCAGAAATGTATTACATAAGACCACAAAACTAACGATGTTAGTATTTCAGTTTTAGGTATTTGTGTCAGTGCAATTTTCCTGAATAAATACAATGCAATATTTTATATATGATACAAAACATATATTTGTTTTTATATATTATGTTATCTTATTATGGGTATCTTAAACTAAAAATGTTAAGCTATTATACAGGGTGAGTCTTAAATAAGTGCAAATATTTTACGGGTAGTATATTTCGACCCCAGAAACACGATTATAAGTTTTTTCGCGAAAAATTTTTTTTGAAAAATTTGGATTTTTTTTAGTATTTAGTTAAAAATCTTAATTTCTTGGTAACATGGCAACATAAATGGTAGATTAAATTTTCAAGAAAGAAAATCCACAAAAGTGGTTCTCAAAATTTAAACAAATAATCATTTTTTTTGAAATTTTTAAAGTAAAATAACTTGGTTATTTTGGACTTATTTGAGAAAAGGCAGACAAAATACGGTTCTTTTATCAAGATCTACTAGCCCTGAAACTATTTGCACTTATTTAAGACTCACCCTGTATACATATGTATATTCCATCTTTGTTTGTTACTTCCTGCATGGTTAACACTGTTTTAATTTTTTAAAGTCCTCCAACTATATGTTTCGTTACTTTTTAACTTCGTATTCAGTTTGTACATTAAAAAATATGTCGACTGCACAAATAACAAGTAAAAACTTGCTTAAAATTTTTGATCAATAATTTTTTTAGCATCAGTATTATTCACTAATTCTAAATTACCAAATATTTCAGTCATTATTGTTCGCTCCGAATTATTTTTGTTTTTATTATTTCTCCTTTTTCTATTTCCTGTTCTATTATATTATTTTCTACTCGACTTTTTAAATATTCTTTAGTTATTTACACATAAAAAATCATACTAGCATATAGCTAACCAATATTTTGTTTAAAAATTATTTTTAGGGTTTTTTTGGCGGAGTATATCACAACGAAGATCTAAATCCTATTTTTAGCGAGATCCTTTCTCGAGCAAGATATGTACTGGCTATGTGGAATACATACGAACCTACATGTCTAAAACAATGTATTTTTAATCCTGTTATATATTTCATGACAAACTACTTAATCTATAATATTGACAAATATGATGAATTGAATTGGAGTGGATGTGACTGTATAGAGGTAAATTATTATTTTGTATTTTAAGTTGGAGAAAACCATCAGCAATCAGTTAAAATTGTGGCTTAATTGAACTACGCTTATAAATCTTTTTAATTTTTAAAGTAGTATAAAAAAAGTATAGTATAAAGGTGTAAGTAAAAATAAATCCTAAATAAAAATTTTATATATTAGACCCCGGTTACATCACAGATCGACATACATATCCGACCTCTGCATCCAACGCGCGACACAGCGTAGATGCGCGCCAGGCCGCGATGGTTCGGCGGCTCGACGCATGATTTTACCGACATTTGGACTAAAACCTACTGAATTTAAAACAATTTTGGTAAAATTGTTTTAAATTCAGTTTAGATTTTATCGTGTTAGAATAACAAGCAAAGATTGGCCTGCATCTGCATCACAGCTGCTGTGAGAACATGTCCAACAGCAGCAATGGAGGTCATTCTAGACCTAACACCACTGCACATTGTCGACGGTACTTATGACAATGCGACAATGATTAGAATCGTCATTGACGGATTCAGTATTGGAAGAATTTTCAGGTCAGCGGCTTGGAACACCCTCAAAAAGAAAATTCCACTCCTCTAACTCCTAGCGCTGACATACCAAGAATTTACAACTTTGAGGAACACCTCACTGTTAGTATTGAGCAATAAAAAGGATTGGAAGATAGAAACGTTTGGTCGGGCATGAAAAAGACCATACCATAACGTGGTATTCTGATGCTTCCAAAACCAAGGCAGGGACAGGGATAGGAGTATTTAGGCCGAAAACAAAATACTCCGAACCAATGGGCACTTACCCCAGCATCCTTCATGCAAAAATCTACGCTATCGAAAGATGCGTACAAATTTATCTTAGATAGGAACTATCGGAAACAGGAAATAGCTACCTTATCCGATAGTCAAGCAGCACTAAAAGCGATCAACTCGAAGTTGGTCAAAGAATGCCTTAAGAAACTGAACAAATTAGGCAAAGGAAATAAAGTCCTCCTACCCTGGGTGCCCGCTAACCAAGAGATAGAAGGCAATGAAAAAGTAAACGATCTAGCTAAAAAAGCTCTGGACCTCTGCGTAATAGGTCCACCGCATCGTTAATTCCGACCGAAAAAGTAGCATTATAGGCCCGCATGCGCCAGAAGTCAGAAGTGCAAGTGAAAATGTTTCGATTTCTGAGCCAAGCGGATAAAGTCCTGCTACTCTGGGTGCCCGCTAACCAAGAGATAGAAGGCAATGAAAAAGTAAACGATCTAGCTAAAAAAGCTCTGGACCTCTGCGTAATAGGTCCACCGCATCGTTAATTCCGACCGAAAAAGTAGCATTATAGGCCCGCATGCGCCAGAAGTCAGAAGTGCAAGTGAAAATGTTTCTATTTCTGAGCCAAGCGGATAAAGTCCTCCTACTCTGGGTGCTCGCTAACCAAGAGATAGAAGGCAATGAAAAAGTAAACGATCTAGCTAAAAAAGCTCTGGACCTCTGCGTAATAGGTCCTCCGCATCGTTAATTCCGACCGAAAAAGTAGCATTATTGGCCCGCATGCGCCAGAAGTCAGAAGTGCAAGTAAAAATGTTTCTATTTCTGAGCCAAGCGGCTACACGGTTTCCATGGTAACGTGACGTCAGCCTAGCGGCAGATATAAATCCCCCCGCCCCGAAGTTTATTATCGGTGACCGATGTGAATGAGTTTTTGGTTTTGGGCAGTTCTCTTCGTCTTCCTTTTGTTCAGGAAATGCGTGACGGTGGCGCATAATTTATGCATTTATGCTAATATTTGGCTACTTCGGCGAGTAACCTATCCTCACCAAACCAAACCGTGTAAAGATTGTAAAGTTGTTGTTATTTATTGTTGTTTGTTAATGGCTTTTGTTGATTTAACTTGTTAATTTTTGCCGATTTTTGCTGTTTGTTTTGTTGTTGTGTTTTAAAACTGTTTTGTGTGTGTATGTGTTAAAAAATGAACCCAATTAATGACTTGGTGTACAATTTATTAGAAACTCCCTTCAGACGGTGGACAGATGAAGATAAGGGGGATGTTTTATCTCAAGGGCGACCAACTGAAACTTTAACCATAAATTGCACAAAAGAAATACGAAAAAGTGGTAAATCTTATAATATTAAATTTAAGTCTTCCTGGTTTTCTGATTTTAATTGGCTATGTAGTAGTATTGTTTTACAAAAATTATTTTGTTGGTCGTGTTTACTATTTTCTAATAAAAATGTCATTTGAAATAAAGAAGGGTTCACCGATTCCGTAAATATAATCTTTGCATATAAACACGGGGTTTCTGCAGAACATTTAAAATGTCAGTTAATGCTAAGAAATTTTAAAAAAATCAAAATACTATAGCCTATGCTTTAGAAAAAAACGTTAGACTCTATAAGCTTAATTTTAATGAAAATGTTCGTTTAAATAGGCTTTAATATATATAAATATAATTAATTAATCAAGAAAGTATAGAAAAATTGAGCTGATTTACAAAAATTAGTAAGGTTAGTAATATAAATAAGTCAAATTTATTTTGGTTAATAGTGCTTAGTAACATTAATGTAATAATAATTATTAATGTAATAATTGAATAATAATTGAATGGCTCCTCGGTTGTAACCAATAATTTTTTCAATATCGAAATTTCAGTAAAAAAACCGAGGAAAAAGCGCTATACCTGATGAAAATTATATCCTTATTTCACTGAAATCTCTATTTTGAAAAAAATGTCGGTTACAACGTTTTTCAGGGAAACCATTCAATAATTACAGTGTTTACCATAAAGTTGGATCCATATGGACGTTTTTTTTGGTATTAGAGTTTAAAAAAACTTTTTGTGGCTATCAATTCTGCTTTAAAAACAACTTAAAATGCAGCAAGTCAAAGTTGAAACATAATTTTATATATATATAAAATAATAATTTAACCAATTTTTAAAAGTTTCTTTTAAATATTTTGTATTTGACAGCTCCCAGATGTTAGCTGTCAACTTTGGCTTGGTGCATTTTCAGTTGTTTTCAAAGCAGAAGTGATTGACAGAAAAAGATTTTTTAAAACTCTAATATAAAAAAAAAACGTCCATATGGATCCAACTTTATGGTGGGCACTGTATATAATGTTTATTATATTTAATTTAAATTTAATTATATTTTCAGTGGAATGCAAAATAATGTGTTTATCGAAAACTGGTTGTATCTCTTTTTACTTAATGCGTTTTAGCCCAAACTAAAACGAAAATATTACAAATATTAGTGTATAAATAATAACAAAAAAATGTTGACAAAATGGTGAATACAGCAAAAATTTTTCAAATAATATTTTAAAAAATGTTGACAAAATGGTCAATGCGCCAAAAAAATTTTCGCCTGCGGCGCAATTTAGAAGAATTCATTCTTCACCTAATTTTTTACCCACGAGCGGCCACTGCTGAAGAATTCCATCCGTTAACTGGAATAGGAGCCCTCCAACCTCCAACGGTCTAAGCGAGGAGTGTCTCACTTGGGTAAAAAATTTACATGAACTGCCAAAATATAATTTTACCTCCAAGCGATTGTCAATGACTGCGAAGAAAACTGCCATGTAATTATTATAGGCGACTGCCGTAAGACTGCCAATAAAATGTACCTATAAAGTAAGAACAATCTTCGGATTGTGACGGGGTTTCTAACAGGACACTGTCTCCTCAACGAACACCTCAGTAGATTAAAGCTGAGAAACAACGACGAATGCAGATTCTGTGGGGAAAATGGAGAAACACCAGAACACCTTATCACTGAGTGCGCCGAGACGACAACTGTTCGTGCCATAAACTGTGGTACCGCTGATGTCGAAGATGAAGAACTGGCCTCTGTGGAACCGTCTAAGATACTGGCATTTGCCAAAGCTCTGAGACTGTATGATGATGAGTTATAACTCAAGAAAGGAGAACACACAATAGATCTGTAAGGTCGCGGTAATTAACCCCTCTAACTAGTAAATATACTACTGTACTAAATATTATTTTACAAACCTCCAAACAACGAACATGTTTCGATAAAATGGAAGAAATTGAAGTAGTTACAGAAATTAACAAGAATTATTATTTATAACTTACAAAACAAATTAACTTAAAAAATCAGATTATCAATCGAAACCATAAAATTAATGCTAAAACGAATAGAAGTTACAGAATGTTTTAAATTTCCGGGGCATTTTACTCAATGTTTAGAGGAGGACCAGCTTTACTTCAAAAATTTAAAACAAAAACTACACTTTGTGTAGTTTCCTTGCAGGTAAAATTTTACTTTTTCTAGTACAAGAAGATTGTAAATTAGTTCCTTCTTGATATTATGGTTATTATGGTTATATTTAGTATTATAGTTATGGACAATTTTTTTTATTAAGAACTGTTAGGTATTAGAGATTTATGTTGAGTTCTATGGAAAATATAAATATTATATCTCTATTTTGTTTTTGAGTAATGTGGCTACGTATGTAAGTTGGATGAAAATAAAATCGTGTCATTTAGGAATATATGTTCTATTGATTTCTCGACACGATTTTAGGTTTTACTTTATAATTTTCTATAATAATCAAAATTTTTATGAATCAACAGCACATAAAAATAACATTTGCTATCCTGAATGCTGATTATGAGCAACCCATTAACAAATTTCGTGATATCGTTTGCTGTTTATAAGAGGTGTTAAGGCAGTTAAAATTTGGAATCACGGATGCTATTTACTAGACGGATTTGCGATATCGTATGCTGTTTACGCCAATGACTAAAGAATATAAGGACATTTAACGGTCATATACGGGCTGCAGCAAAATTTGTGACCTTTAGGCGCCATTTTTTTGGACATAACGAATGAATCATCAGCGACAATTTTAGCGATTTTTAATAGTTGGTTGTGTGTAGTGAACTTTATATAAACTTTATTACAATGGTAATTTCTTCAGCTTTCAAGTGTAAAAGGCGCAATGATCCAAGGCGAGAAAGATCCAGGAGTTACGTTTTATAGGGAAATAAACAGTCCACTACACCTTTTTAGCGTTTTTTTATTGAATTCGATAATTATTTTTCTGATATTATATGTACTTGATATGTGCTATACGTCGATACTAGTTTTGTACCTTTTGTTAACATTTTAATACGTTTTTTTCGTAATTAATTAGTATGATACCACAGGACACACCAGAGGCGTAGTGAAAATATTTACCAGAAATATAAATATCGCTTCAAGCGGCTATGTTAAGAAAAATATGTGCCACGGCCGAGCACGGCCCCAAATGGCAATTTTTCCCCAAAAAGTCTAAAAACAATCCGCCTAAAAAGTCATGGTCCACGAATTACGCTGAGACTTGGGTCTTTTCGTGATCTTATTATTGGACTAGAGAAGATACAGTGGTTTTCAAAATTTAAGCGAAAAATCGTTATATATAATGGTATAATAATATTTCGGTTATTTTGGAATTATTTGAAAAACGGTAAAGAGAAAATATCTTTCTATTATCGAGATCTACCAACCCTGAAAATATTTGCACTTATTTACGACTCACCCTGTATAGTTAAGGTTCAAGAAATAAAAATAATCTGTTTTTATTTATATAATTAGTAATATTTTCTTTTTAGGAAATAAAAAATGACTTAACATCTCAACTGGAAATATCGGAGAACAATTTTGGTTTTTTTGGTAAGCTTCTTATCACCGGCGTCAAAAACTGGATGGTAAATTTATTAATGTCATTAAAAACTTAATTAAGGTTTATAAATAGATTTAAATAGTATAATCTTATTATTTATTTCCATATTATGCTCTATTATTGGTTATTAATTTCAATTTGTGTTAATAAACATAATTGTATAAATTACATATTTATTTATAATTTATTATTTCTCTTCTTTAATTTATATTATAATAAAGCTATTATGTATATATTTTTTATTGTTCTTGATATTATGTAAAAATAGATATACAGGGTGGTCCGAACTGTATTCCGGAAATTTCGAGAGCATATTGTGCAGATAAAAATAAGTAAAAAAGTTCGTATAAATGTAAGTCCAAAAATGCTTAGTTTCGGAGATACAGGGTGTAGAAGTTTCATTTTTACTGTGATTTTTTCCAAATAATTTCTGAACTAACGTAATTATTTGGATGAAAGTTGGTGTCTGTTAGGTTAGGTTTTTTACATGAGAAATTTGATTTTGATGTCAATATGACTCCTATTTGTAGAGGGCGCCACCTACATGTGTTTTAACTGATTTGAAAAGTAATAACTTTTCGCCCGTAGTTAAATTGTACCTGTATAAAACTATTGAGTGAAAAAATATAAATTTCCGGTATTTTTTACTTAAAAAATGTCTCTTGGTAAAAATCGCTACGAGTAATAGTTATCGAGATATTTGGAATCGAAATTATCAATACCTTTATTAACATAAATAAACATATATATAAAATATATACAATAACATAAATTAAAAATGTTGACTAAATAGTTTTTAGACTGAAATCATTAATTTGAAATATTTTTATGCCAAAAGTTCAACAGAAACTGTTTTATCATCATTTTTTTGAAGAAAAAATTTCCCAAATTTATTATTTTAGTCAAATAAACTATCTGCTCAACGTGTTTATTTTTTGTCAATAATGACGTGTATTGACTATTTCCATTCTAAATATCTTGAGAACGGTTGCTCGTAGCGATTTTTACCAGGAGACATTTTTTACGTAAAAAATCACGGAAATGTATATTTTTTCATTCAGTAGCTTTATACAGGTACGGACAAAAACTTATTACTCTTTATTATTTTTTAAACAGTTAAAACACATGTAGGGGGCGCCCCTTACAAATAGGAGTCATATTGACATCAAAATCAAATTTCTCATGTCAAAAAACTCCTAGAGACCAATTTTCATCCAAATATTGACGTTATTTCAGAAATTATTTGGAAAAAATCGAAATAAAAATTAAACTTCTACACCCTGTATTTCCGAAACTAGGCATTTTAGGACATATATTTATATCAACTTTTTTACTTATTTTTATGTGCAGAATATGCTGCTAAAGTTTCCGGAATACAGTTCGGACCACCCTGTATAGTAAAGTAATAAATGAATGAATACCCTTAAACAAAAATGTAACAATAAATAGTATGAGGTATAATGATATGTACCACAAACTAACTAAAATAAGTTAGTTGTGTAGGTAAGTATAAAAGTCTTATATTTTCTGTACATAATGGTGAATCTACATATATAAAATGCTAATGTTTATCTGTATCGTCTCTACTGAAGTAACGACTTGCTCTAGAAAGTTGCTTTCATTACTAAAAGATAGCTAATTGGTTTTTCTAAAAACTGTCATCGCCGGATTTTTTGTTTTCCATTTAATTAAACAAAAAATAAAAAGTATTTTTTTTCCTGATGTGACGGATGCGCCAGGCTTCAACTAGTAAAATAATAAATAATAGGTGTCCTATTTAAGTTTTGGCGAATGCGCTGGATTCTACATCAGATAATGTTTTGGGTGACTATCAACAGTTTTTTTCAATTTTTTCAGATATCATCAAAACTAGATTTTTCACATGTAGGTATACTATTTTTATGATTTTTTATCCATTTCTCAAGTCTACTAGTTTTTTGGTAAATTTCCTGCAAAAAGCGTAGCAGTTTTTCTTTGTTTGCCAAAATTCGAAGAAATGGACAAAATGCATCTAGAAAGTCTGCCCCTCACATACAGAGTGAACCAAAAATTTAACCTTTTATTGAACTATAACTCCCCTCTTGTATAGTTCTCGCTGCTAATTAATATATGCACCCCTATATATTTTATATCCCAAATAAACGTAATTTTCATTGAACATTCTGATTTAAGATAATTTTTTTTTGTATCTAAATTCCATGATTCTACTAATACTAATTGTCTATTTTATTAGTGAACATTTTGCAGCTGTACCATTATACAGGGTGTTCCTGTTTAGCGTGCACCAGGTTTTTCTTGGTAAGTCGAAACCTGGTCGCGAGTTGGCGATGCATGGCATGTCACTGTTTTGTTTCGACGTCCATTTCTGATACCAAGCGTCGGTGATGTTTCATCATTCGTCTTCAATTGCATTTAGTGCGGTCTTGGTGGTTGGTTTTCTGGATCGAAGGCGGTTGTGGTTAGCATGCTCGATGTCTGTATGGATCGGTATTTCTCTGTTGTCCAATATCTTGTTAAACTCTCTGTACAGAATATTTATGCGGCGCAGACTTGGGGGTGGGATGTGACTCAGTACTGGAAGGCATTGTGTGGGTGTGGATTTAATAACCCCAACGACCATTCTCATTGTATTATTGAGCTGTGCGTCTATTTTGTGGACATGTGGACTATTGAGACATACCGGAGCACAGTATTCGACAGCTGAGTAGACGAGACCCAGAGCTGAAGAACGTAGAGTAGATGCTGAAGCGCCCCAAGATGTTCCGCACAATTTTTGTATTGTGTTGTAGTTTTGTATTATGGTACATATAAGAAACGTATAAGAAAAATAAATAATTATTTTTTTTATCTATTTTATGTTTTATGGTTAGAAATATAGCAATTGCTTTTCTTTTAGAAAACTATATATTATATTAATATAAAATATTTCTCTTTTTATTAAAATATTAAAAAAAAAACTTACTGCGGGGGCAAGGAGTCCCAAAAAATTTGAACACGAGCCCGCGACTTCCTCGTTACGTCACTGTTTCCGTTAATATGTACCTAATATAAACGCTTATGCGGTAAAATGTTCATTAAATCATTGCAGCTAGCTTGGGTTGTTTATGTGCCGAAGCTATTAAGATAAACCATTTTCTATGTCTTGCCATACCGCACGTGTTTCGAACAAAGATTTCGCTTTAAAATATACTGTTGCTTACTGGTCGGTGTAGAAGTAATAATTTCGAATACAGGGTGTCCATGTCTATAGAAAATTACTTTAATTAATCTTGTGGGAACTTTAAGAGGATATTCCTTATTCCTTTAAAAATCGTGAAATATATTTTCAACAAGATGAGGCTCCTCTAGCTCACAACTTTAAAAATTTGATTTTTATTAACTATTTCCAAAATCCGAGATTGCCGGTTTGTCCGTTCTCGAGTTTTGTATTTAGGAATTTTTGAAAAATTAGATATATTGTGGCAATAACAACAATGTCAGAGATTTGGAAAATGGTATCTGGCAAGCTTAGATATTTGCAAATTTATTACGTTATAATAAATCCCGTTATTACAAAGAAAAAGAAAAATGTATTCAGACATTCAGTGGTAACAGTTTAAAAGCAAAATATTCTAGTTTCAAATAAAATTTTAATATGTGTGTCTATGAATATTTTAACAACCACTGTTGGAACACTTCTGCTGGCCACTGTTTAATATGATAAAAAAAGAGCGTCAGGGACGGTTATAAAATGAAAATCGCTATCATTTTATATGTAAATTTATATGGGAAATGTCATCGATCGTCATTTCCAAGCCAACTGCACGCCGTTTTTATTCAATCATACGGTATGTCTAATAACAATAAAAATAAATAGTAAACCAAGACATGAGATTTTGCTACAGGTGTTCGACATATCGACCGTCTTCTGGCCCGTCGACCGTCTTCTGCCCCGTCTGGACAGACGGGGCCGTTTTTGGGGTGAAAGATAGTGGGGGTGAAAGATAGTGGGGGTGAAAGATACCCTCTCATAACTGCTAAGTATTTCTAATTCTTATCTAGATTATATGGGCAATTTAAAAATAAGAACCTTTATTCTACCGCAAATATATCCATATGATTAGATCCATAGGCACCGAGTCCGGCGGCCTGGACGGCCAACGGCTGGGATCTTGGTTAGCTTCTCAATTATTCTTGAAATTCGCTGCAAAAATTTGCTGATAACGTTCTGAGGCGGTGCCTCGTATTGCTGGAAAAATATGTTTTCGAGATTCGAGTTCCATTAGGGACATATCATCAATAAGGGATCCCAAGCCTACTAGTTAAAAGGGCGAACTTTTAAAAATTCTGTATTTCGAAGGGGATTATAACAAAATATCAAGTGTGCTATATTTTTCGAAAGGTAATTTTAAATTATTTTCAGTTAATTAAAAATATACAGGGTATCCCAAATAAAAAATCAATTTTTCTTTAGATAACTCTTAAATTATTAATTTTTAAAAAATTATACTTACACCATTAAATTCTACGTAAAAAGGTGCTTTGGGAATGTTTTCATAGAAATACAAAATTTTCCATAGCAAAAAAGTTACAGCGATTTGTTAAAGATGCACATTTTTGAAAAACACCCCGTAACTCTAAAACTGTAATAGATATTGATGTGCGGTTTTCACCATCATATTTTTGATAAAAATTGAGCTCCAGACACCGATATTAGTTTTCGTTTATCTCCTATAGAAAACGGTGTTTCCATTTAAAAGCGTCGAATTTGACCAACCCTGTACAGTAGGAACAAAAGTGGGCCCAACACAGAGCCTTGAGGAACACGCTGGTCACTTTGTGTTTAGTGAAAGAGATCCGTTTATTCTGACTTGGAAGTAGCGTCGGATTAGGGAGTTTGATATAAGTTTGAATAAATTCCCTCTTATGCCATATTGGTTTAATTTATTAAGAAGCATCTTGTGGGGTACTTTATCAAATGCCGTTTCAAAATCAAGATAGATGACGTCTGTTTGTTGGTTCCTATCGAAGGCTGCTGTCAAATCGCTAAGACAAAATGTCATGTTCGTTATTGTGGATCGACCAGGATGAAATCCATGCTGTGTGCTGGGTAAGACATCTTTTTCCATTAGGTATGAAGTAAGTGTGCGGATGATTACCTTTTCCATGCATTTACAGACGCAGCTAGTTAGACTAATTGGTCGGTAATTACCAGCTAACTATCTGTCTCCCTTTTTGTGAAGCGGTGTAACGAAAGAAAGAGACCAAGTGTCTGGAAATTTGCCAGATATTAGTAAATCATTAAATAAACATGCTCGCTTCTCCTACAGATGGCGCCACATACACCTTGACAATATTTATCCCATAATTTACGTTTGTTAGTAATTATTTTAGTAAAGTTTCTCCAATATCCCGGACATCTGGCAACCCTACTGTAATGTATTTAATATTGCATATATTAATTTTTCTATTCGAAATCATAGTGAATTTTCAAGATTCGCCATCAATTTCGAACAGAAACGAAAGAAGCGAACCAAAAACAAAATAAAAACCAGAAATTCGAAATGCGAACAGGACTTTTCTTCGTTGGCGCTTATCCTTTAACAAGCCGCCCGAAAACAAGCATCTACCTGTTGTAACTCGACACACCATCTTTTTTCATTGTAATGTGCTGCAACAAAGATTGAATATCGAAATTCTTCAAGGAGAAACAAAACAAAATCACTGAATATATGCAACAGTGGTAAGATACATGCATTTAGCGGGAAAAAATCAAAGAAATCATTAAATAAAATATATGTCCTTCCAATAATAGAATTTTGAAAGTAACTGTTGATGACCATTATTTTAATTATTTTAATTTTAATGCAAAAAGGTCTTAATATATAAAGTGGTATCTATTTATCTAAAATATACTTCTTAAAAGTATTTTATTTAAACCTAAAAAAGTATAAAATAAGAAAGTAATATAATAGTAATATACAGTTCATACCAAATAAACTTTTAATCACGTGATTAAACTTGACTGGCACAGCGTTGCCAATTTTTATATATTTTCTTTTAATCAAAATATTTTAGGAAACAAAAATAAATTAATTATAAATATATAAACAGTCATTATTTACATCAACAAAACTCACCTCCTTAACAACACTTAAGGGACATAAAGGGCCATTTACCGCCCTCTCGTTCAAAATATTTTAATAAAGCTGCAATGAGCTTTTTGTCGTCCATTGTGCCACCTTGTACACTTCGCACTAAAAGATGTTCTAAAAAGAACAATGTTCGCCAGCAAGGTCTGCTAGTAAACATTTTTAAGCTTAAAGTATCACAACACTATTTATTTAAACCAAAAACTCGTAAAACAAAACTAAAGTGTCAAAAAAAAAATAAATAAAGACGACAATTGACATTTTTTTACAGCAGAGCTACCACCTGAATCCCCAGCACGAAATTTAAATTCCAGTTAGTCAGCCAGGCGTCGAATATATCCATGGTTAGCAACAATAAATTTAAAAATCGCGCCCTCGATTACGTAACTAAAAGTTTAATTGATATGAAATATATGTATACGTATACTAATGAGTATTAATAATATACAGGGTGTCCCAATATTCCATGGACATAGAACTACTACGAATTTTTGGAACCAAAATAAGTTCATTGGACACAATTTACCTCTATACAAATGTGCTTCGTTTGTCTGTTAGAGGGCACCAAACTTTAAAAAAATACGAAAACACATTTTTTAAGATATTTCAAGAACCGTTATTCTTATTTGAATGACATTTGGGGTGCCTAAGTTTTGCTAACTGATTTAAAATTTGACTTTCCCCCCAAAAAAATACGTGAAGGGTAAAAACTACCCCCACCCCAATAAATGCTATAATTTTCCATATCCACCGACAACGTTTTATTCCTAAAATGTTCCTCCTAGTATTTGCTACACTTTTAGTCTTTTGTAAACAACGCTACAAAGAGAACAAAAGAACTTCAGAAGTAAGAACAATAAGAAATAGATATATCACTACTTATTATTTAGGAGAGTTTGATTTCGAGTATCTAGTATCACTACTCTTTCGCATGTAACAGAAAATAATTTTTTAATTACTGTTACCGAGTCTCGAAAGTACCCAAAGAACCGGGTATTAACACTTTCAAGTCTCGTCTCGATGTCTCAAAAGAACCGGGAATTTCCTGTACTTTCGATACCGAGATTTCCCGGTTTTAAACCCTAGTACCTACTACTAAAAGATACTTGCGTAAACATACCTAATGCCGATGCCGGCCCAAATTAAATATAGATATACTGTATTTTCTCATTGGGTATAACTTTTTATTTTTTAGATAAATAAAACAAGATATGATACGTTAGTATATGACACAAATTAGGATTTATTAACGGTATTCAATTATTTTCGGTCACTTCCTGTTTCACCTGAAATGACTACGACTTTTGGTTTTTAAATGACATTCTTGCAATGATTAAAAAATATAAGGACATGTAACGCTCATATACGGGCTGCAGAACAATTTGTGACCTTAGAGGCCATTCTTTTGATGGCAAACAATGAGTCATCACTTGGTCACCAGCGACAATTTTAGCGATTTTTAATAGTTTGTGTGTATATAGTGAACTTTGTATAAACTTTATTACAATGGTGATTAGTTGTTCAGCTTTCAAGTGTAAAAGTAGCAGTGGTAAGAAAGAGCCAGGAGTTACGTTTCATATGTAAATAAACAGTCCACTCCAACTTTTTAGCGTTTTCTTATTGAATTCGATAATTATTCTTCAATTTCAATTAACATCTATATGTACTTGATATGTGCCATACGTCGATACTAGCACAGATTATACAGATTATAATCTTTGTTTTTTCTTTATTGTTTTTCGTGGTTCCAATTTTCGGAATCGGGCACTAGTTAGGTGACTAGTTTGCGCACATAACACGCCCACTTATGGCCTTTAAAATTGTGCACAGCGCCTGACCGGCAGAGTTATTAGAGAGATATCGGAAAACCGAATAGCGTCATCCAGTATTTATGCGTACCTTATCATGGTTACGATCTTGTTACGACCGTGGTTACGATATGCGCGAGTCAACGCAACACCCGCTAATAACATTACCGCCTGACGTAATTTGGGGATCTATTACACCAAGCGCTCTTTCTAAATAACCTCTGATAACGTTTAAAAATTGCTTAAATGGGCATGTGCGGGTATTTGACAACCGGAGCCGGCCGGCGAGATCTTTTATTTTAGGTTATGTTTGAATTGTTCTGAATTATTACTTTAGTTTTATTAAGTAATTTGATATTTAAGTAGCTGGGATTAGTTTTAATTAAATAAATATGGCCCAAAATATGGATTCCACCTGTTCCAATACTAAAGAACCTATAAAGAGGCTTAGGTTTACAGCAGATGACGACTTAGCCCTTCTAAGAGAATTTGTTGCTTGTTGCCCTAAACCCACTGTCAGACGTTGAACAATGAAGCACTGGAAATAAGCACTTTAGCCCTTTAGTTTTAAAATACCTAGTAAACAAAACAATTTCAAAGTTTTAAATTCAAAGTTAGGTTAAGTTTAAATAGCGGACGGGACGAGAACAGAATTCTTTCCGATCCGATAACTATAAATAAAGAGAGTTAATACCACCTCACGTAAAGGAAATAACACCCTTATTAACGTTCATGCACGCTATTCGGTTTAGCGATATCTCTCTATTACGCTGTTTATTGTTATTTTACGCGAGTTTATTTTTGCGCACAGGAAATTTTACTCGTTTGCACATCGTCATAAAAAACAATTTTCGTACCACGAATTAGGGACAAGATTTTTATCTGTATACTTATAGGATACCTAATCTGTCATACTAGTTTTGTACCTTTTGTTAACATTTTAATACGTTTTTTTCGTAATTAATTAGTATGATACACCATAGGCGTAGTAAAAACAATTATCAAAAAATATAAATATTGTTTCAAACAGGTAGGTTAAGAACAATATGTGCTACGGCACTGTTTGGTGACATCGGCACAATTTGCTCTGGGGTTTTATTTGTCCTTGGATTCTTTAGTCATTGCAATCTTGGTATTTTTTACTTCATTTGATAGAAAATAACATTCTGAATAGAATGACATGGCAAATGCCAATTTTTGACATTTTTAATTAAAAAATTTAGCATATTAAATGTTAATTTAGAGTGCCATGGCCATAATTGTAACGACAATCTGATTCGAAATACTCAGTGGTACCAAATTATACGTGAAAAAATATTTTTTTCAAATATGCTAATGCTCCGCCCTCGTTCCATTCGAAAAATTGAGATATGATTAAAAACACGATTTGGGCATCTTTTAACCGGCCCGGACAAGACACGAAAAACATTAGACGATCAAATCTATTTTTCCAAGGATTCTTGACCTGGTATACCCTTAGATTAACAATGGATCCGAAATCTTGGTACCTATTTAATACCCAAATTTTAATAAAATTATTTTTTCCATCACTGTTCTACAACCTACAACCAAATAAAGTCTACCCAACGAGAAGATACATGACAGTGAAAGTTGTCTGTAACTTTAATTTGTAGAAAAAAAAATATTTAATTTTTACCGACATAGTTGAAAGTAGGTATTTTAAGCTATCTATCAAACTTCTATCTTAATCGTGTATTGCGAATCTAAAAATCAGTCTAATTTCCAGAAAAAATTATTAGGTAATTAAGACAGAAAAATTAATTCCATATTTTTCAAACCAAAATAGCTCAAAAAATAACCCCCATTAAAAAAACTTTATAGCAACAAATTGCGGAGCAGAATTTAGAGTTTCATACCACTGTCTCGCTCCGCCAATGAAAACGTCTCCTGCACACTCAGACTCAGGTAACAAATTTTGTGGGATATCAACAATGTGCGATTCATTATTCATTCGGTTCGTTGCTTCTGCAGTGTTAGGACGGTCGCAGTTTGCCGGTTGTGCGCTATCGTGACAGTTACGTCTCTAGGATATTGGTACGATTAATTTTTAGTGTTTTATTATCGGACGAATATTATGATGAAATTATTGTTCTGTGCCAGACAATAAAGTGTGCCGTTAAATATAGAACTTGAGAGGGAATTTTCTGTGAGTCATAATTTACTGTTCGCGATGGCTGGAAAAACAATTAGTTTGTTTGTGGTTTATGCCGGTTTTTTAGTGTTTGCCAATGGCATGGAAGAACATTGCTCGCTGAACACTTTTGACATTGCCGGAAACGATATGCACTTTACCAAGGAAGTTACTAACGAAGAATTTGCTCTTGTGGGTAAATTCAAAGGATTGCACTGTTGCGCGAAAGGATATCGGAGTATTGAATGGTAAGTTTTTAGTTTTAGTAGTGATATAAAATACTACAACTTCTAGGTATACAGGGGATATATTTGGTACATATTTTTTTATTTTTTAAAATTGCACATTTCTGACAGTTTTCTATTTTTTTTAACTTTCTTTACCCATTAGATGTTAAAACTTATATGAATTGTCTTTATACAATATTATTTGTTTTACAATAAGTAATATTGCTATAATATATTTGAGAAACTTTTACCGACATTTTTACTTAGTCTATATGTTGGGGGCAGATGCCGAATTCGGCCTATGTCCGAAATAATTCGACATATTATGGCGATTATAATTAAATATACCTACCTATATCCACAAAGTTACGCGGAAGAGTTTTGATTGCATTGGTTTCAACTTCTATGCGGAGGGTGTTAATCTTTTGTTGTTATATTATACCAAAAAAATATTAAGCCCCTCCGCAAAGAAGTTATATAAAGACTATTATTTATAACCACGAAGTTCTGGCAAGTTTAGTATGGACAAATCGCCATATACATATGTCTAAATATTTCGGACATAGGCCGAATTCGGCATCTGCCTCCAACATATACACCAATAAGGGTACCTTCTTGGACTTGGTAATGAACTAGCATAATGTTCAGGAAATCACCTAAATCATTTATTACATCTTATAGGTATACATTTTCAAGTGCTATCAAGAACGATAGTCGATAACATAATATGTATCATTGTTGCACAATCTTTTGAAGGCGACTATCATGTTGTAGCTTCATTTTTGGTTTGTAACTTTGTTATTAGAATAACAGAAATGTTATAAAATCACGGACTAAGAACAGCTAAATAATATTCCATTTGATTTTATTCTCACCACTAAAACATGTTGGAACCAAAAAAGGGTGAATGGTGAATTTGGGGTCATTTGAGAATCTTAAAAAAAGTATGTTAGAAAAACAGATAACGAAATTAAGTGTTTATAAAGAACAGAAAATATGAATTGCACAGTAATTCTTACTTTTTATTGAGTTTAAAGTAAAAGGTAGATTCTGTACAATTTCTTATCTGTAGGCGTTCTAACAGCCATAAATAAGAAGTCAATTCAATGAAAAACTACAATTTTAGTTGGCATCAGGTATAAAACTCATGAAAACTAGTAAATTAGCAAAACTAATGATTTTTTATAATATTCTATAAAAAGGTAATTCAAGACAGCCACCCAATATTTTTTATAATACTACCTACTTACTTTTATTGCTTCAAAGTTCAAATAAGTTCTATATAAGAAAATTTAATGCAGTAAACCATTGTTTCATGTTGCAGAACATCTCACATAAACATTGATAATCACATGAAGTTCTTGCATTAAATTACTTCGATTAGTGTTAGATATTTACCTAGACCCAAATGCCTTAAAAGAAAATTATGCTGAACATAATAGTGGATAAGTGTACGTGTGCGGATAGGAGTTGCATTCGGTGGAACCAAAGAGGTTAGAAGAGAAAGAGGTAGGGTCGATTCGCCAGCAGTCGGCCTTTTTTTGGGATCTTTAACTTTGAATATAAATAACAAAACACTACAAGAAGATCGCTCATTCGTTCTTTTATTAACGTTTTGTGCATGAACTTATTTTTACGTGAGAGAAATAAAAAAACCCTAAAACTGAACGTATTTTCACTATTTTTTACTTTTCTAAAAAATAGCACTTTTTTCAGTAGTCGGCCACTAATATGTCAGTTGTCGACCATGCAGGTACCAGTAGTCGGCCGTACTTAAAAGAGTAAATTTTACCAGAGCCGTATTTAAAATTTATTATTTTCATTCGTTATGAAAGAGGTAAGTAATAAAAAAAAATATGAAGTCAATAAAAATATATTCCAAGTAGCAAAAACAACAAACATAAAAAATCACTATTGAAAAATAACAAAAACATTAATTTGCCTCTATTAATACTAAATAATAGGAACTTTTGGTTTTGGTTGCACAAACTTCTTATAACTAAAACTCCGTTTAACCAAAATAAACACTAACTTAAAACAGGTATGTAAATCAAGTACATAAATTGCAATAAAAGTCTAAATTCATGGCATCTTCATAGGCTTGCCCTGCCAATTCTGTGCATTTAAGATGAAACCACCTGGGGCACGTGTCACAGCCGATGTTTTTGTCACAATCCTCTTCAGCATCACTGTCAAGCTCATCTTGGCATGAGCCACACTTTTGTTTTATTCGTGCTACTAATGCCGTTTTCAGTTCTTCAGATATTTTATTTTGTTTAGCTTTCCGTTTTTTCTTGCCTCCCATTAAATTTTCGCTTTTTTTCTTTTAGCTAACTCTCGTTTCCTTTCTTTGATTTTTTCTTGTTCCTCCTTTTCCATTTCTTTGCTAATGTAGTATGTTCTCCATGCCTTTGCAGAAATTGCGCTAGTGGTTGGTCCTGATTTCGTTCTTTTTGATTTAAGTATGGGTTTCGGATATGTTAAGTGCTTTTCAAATGCAGATAATATCTTGATTTTGGGTTTATTTTCCAGTATTAAACTCGAATTGGCGTCTACAGTTGCAGCAACAACTTCTTCGTTGGCCATTGTTCCTTTATCATCATCAGATAAAATAGCAACTTCCGAAGTTGCTTCAACGTTTTCAAAAGCAGAAACACATTCTTTATTAGCACTTTTTCCTTTATTTCCCTTACGCAAAATATCGACTCGTAAAATCTTGAGCTTGGGTTCGTTAGTCGGAATAAATGACGATTCGGCCTTTTCAGCGACGACAGGTACAAGCTCTTCATTGGAAGTTGTTTCTTCGAGTAGTTTAGAATCCGAACTATCATTGTTAGTTGGTATAAAAGGTGATTCGGCCCTCTTTCAGCAGTAGATACCAACTCCTTATTGGAGATTTATTTCTTTGGGTAATTTATTCAAAAATATCATCGTCGGGTACAAACTTTCCATGAGGAGTTGGTTCTTCAAGTAATTTTATTTCGTTTAAAATATCATAATCGTCAGTCGGTGGTGCAAATGATTCAGCCCTTTCAGTAGCGGGTCCCAACTCTCCATGGGGAGTTGTGAGAGGGTTGCGGAGATCCACTCTCTTCGAGTTCTTCATCGGGTAATATATTGTCTTCGTTGTTGGGACCAAAGAAAGAAATCCATCGTTGTTTACTTCATATTCTTCTATGGCAAGGTTTTCATCTTCAACTACAATTTCTTCAGGTTGATCTTGTAGGCTTTTCCTCGAACTTTTTCAATTCTGACAATATTTTGTCTACATCTACCGTTCGATGGGTAAGGTTGGATTTTTAAGCCCATTAAGACTTTATGAGCACTCTTAAAGTCGCTCGGCGTTAACACCTCTTGCTCATTGGTCCCGTTTCCGTCGTCGTTGTTATTAATGTTTTCCAGCGTATTTTGGATACACTTGCTGTAATCCACAGCCTCCATATCGCACGGGTATAAACCATCGTCTGAAGCCATTTTTTTATGTGTTCGGATATTTTTGGGTTTTTCAATGCCCGTTTGAATACCGAAGCGAAATAGATTTTGTTAAAGTTTTGTCTTCATTCTCACTTTGCCAGCTTCCTGACAGCTTGCCGCCAGTACTCCTTCAGAGGTTTGAAGACTGCAACGTCAGCAGGTTGCATCATATGGGTGGAATTTGGTGGTAGCGCATACAATATGATGCCATTTTCATCGCAAAACCGACTTAATTCTACTGACATGTGGGAACGATGTCCATCTACAAAAAATAATATCGGTTTTTTAATATTATGTTCCATAATCCATTGATGCAACCCGTTCGCAACATATTCATAAAAAACATCGGCCCTCATCCAACCAGTGTCGGATTTTCCCAAAATCCAGTCTTCTGGCATGTTATCCGCAATTGCCCGAGGAGGTTTAACGTATGGATATACTACACATGGCGGACATATTTTCTCATCCGCCCGGAAATGTAACTAGGACCGTCACATTCTCCTTCTCGCTACCCTTTTTGACTTCGTAAAGTTTTTTATATCCCTTAGGAGCAAGTACTTTTCCTGTTTTAGGGCACAGGCTAAACCCACTTTCGTCCATTGAATACTCGTGTCGGATCGTTCAATACGTCAGTGGCGTCTATACTTTCTAAATATATTTCCAGTTCTCGGAACCACGATTGAATATATTCTTTGGTCAGTTTGCCTCTTTTGGATTTATCCACAGATTCTGCTGACCTGGCAGAAACTTCAGGGGTGCCTTTTTAAAAAGGATGCATACCATTTTGTCCGGGTCGGTTGTCTTTAAATGGCGTTTTTTATGTTTCCATCCACAACAATTTTTTGTACCGTGTTGATTAACTCATTTTTTAATGGAAAACCCACATTTTAAGCGATTAATAACCCATTGGACTATTTTTTCTTCGTTCTCTACGCTTAAAAAAGATCTGGACCCATTCGTCGTGATTTGTCTACTCGAACGCGTCCCTTTAAGCCGGTCCTGGATGGTAGCTCTTGGAACCCCATAGTTCCGGCTAGCTTCGCGAATTTTCACCCCTTGCCTTATCGCATCCACGGCTTTCTGTAAATTTTCTTGAGGATATTCATGAAACTTTCTTTTTTTTAGAGTTTTAGCTCTCTGAAATAGATAATATATAATAATTTCAAATTTTCAGTCAAAAACCAAGCTAAAAGGCCTTTGGAATCTTGTGGCCGACTACTGGCAAACTCTACATTTTAAGTTTGTTCTAGTAGTCGGTCAATATTAATCATCTCTATCCAGCTACTTTATTATTCGTTATTTGTAGGGCCGTCCACTGGTACGGCGAATCAACCCGGTTAAACTCACACGAAGACAAACAATTAATATATCTTAAAAAAGAATGAGATAGAAATAAAATAAAATGTACATATTGTTCCAGTAGTCGGCCGCCTGGCTGACCACTAGCAAGGCTATTAAAGTTTGCGCGCCAGTGACCAGCCCCCACTATTTTTACGGTTAACTTAAAAATATGCCTTCAGACCAAATAATAAGATATTTAAACCTAT